CTCGACCAAATCCGGGTCTCAAACGGAAACAGTAAGTTCCGTTCATTGAAGTCTCGGTTCTATGCTCCTTGCGCCGTCAATCCGCAATTCTAGCGACAGACCTCTGTTTTCTCGCATTATCTTTAAAATCTCGTTCCTAACCGTTACTCCTATCGTTTCAATTTCAGGGTACACGAGCGAGAAGTCGAGTATCCTCGTTATAGGCCTCAGCGTGCACACGGCGCCAGTGGAGCTCCGGGAGAAGCTCGCGGTGCCGGAGCACGAGTGGCCACGTGCCATCCACGAGCTGAGCGCGTGTCCGCACATCGAGGAGGCGGCCGTGCTGAGCACGTGCAATCGCATGGAGATCTACGTCGTCGCGCGGTCGTGGCACATGGGGATCCGCGAAGTGACCCAGTGGATGTCCAAGGTAGACAAATTCAGCACCCAAACAACAAACCACCCTACCACCGCTCCCTCTCGCGGCTCCCCTCCCCCCCTCCCTTCCCCCCCCCACGCCCCCTCCCCCCCCCCCCCTACACCCTTACACGCCCAACCCCTTCTCCCCCCACACCCCCGCTTCCCCCCTACCCCCAATCCCGGATCCCCCTTCCCTCTTTTCCCAATCTCCGTTACCACAAGGATTCCTGCCGCACCAAACCATCCCTCGCCTGATGCATTTTTGTAGTCAACTTGATTTTCCCAGCGAGTCTCCACTCAGTACCTCCTCCCTGACCCTCCTCCCCTCCTGCTCTTCCCTTCTCCCCCCCTTCTCCCCGGCCTTACCCCCCAATGCAGTCCAGCGGAGTACCTGCCGAAGAACTCCGCCCGCACCTCTTCGTCCTGCGCCAACGAGACGCCACCCACCACCTCCTCCGCGTCGCCTCGGGACTCGACTCCCTCGTCCTAGGAGAAGGCCAGATCCTCGCTCAAGTCAAACAAGTCTTCAAAGTCTCCCAGGGGAATGTGGGCTTCGGACGGAATCTACACGGGCTGTTCAAACAGGCGATTGAGGCGGGAAAGCGCGTCCGAACCGAGACCAGCATCGCGTCTGGAGCCGTCTCTGTGAGCTCTGCTGCTGTTGAGCTGACAGCCATGAAGCTTCCTGAAAATGGGCTGCGGGACGCCCGGGTGATGATAGTCGGTGCGGGGAAGATGTCCCGGCTTTTAGTTAAGCATCTGCTCTCCAAAGGGTGTGATAAGATGGTGGTGGTGAATCGGACAGAGGCGAGAGTGGATGCGCTTAGAGAGGAGTTTCCAGAGGCAACACTGGTTTTCCGGCCGCTGTCTGAATTGTTGGAAGCAGCGGGTGAAGCAGATGTGGTGTTTACAAGCACAGCCTCAGAGGAGCTGCTTTTCCATCAGGAAAACGTGCAAGGATTGCCACTGGCGGGGGAACTGACAGCAGGAGTGCGTCATTTTGTGGACATTTCTGTTCCGAGAAACGTGGGAGCTTGTGTGGGGTCCGTGGGGCATGCACGGGTGTACAATGTGGATGACTTGAAAGAAGTCGTGGCAGCTAATAAGGAGGACAGGAAGTGGAAGGCGCTGGAGGCTGGGGTGATTATAGAGGAGGAGATTCAAGCATTTGAGGCGTGGAGAGACTCGTTAGAGAGCGTGCCAACAATCAAGAGGTTACGAGAGAAGATTGAGTGTATTCGGCAGGCGGAAGTGAACCGGGTTCTGGCGAAGCTGGGGCAAGACGTAACGCCGAAACAGAGGAAGCTACTAGAGGAGATGAGCCGGGGGATGATGAACAAGATCCTGCATGGGCCGATGACGCATCTGAGATGCGATGGTGGGGATGCAAGGACGGTTCATGAGATTCTGGAGAATGTGAATGCGATTGGGAGGATGTTTGACCTGGCTGCTGATGAGATCATGATCCCTCAACTCACTGTGGCAGCCAGTTCCAATGTCAGGTGAAGCTAGAGATGGCTGTCCTACAGAATGGTGTCTAATTTACTGGAATGGTGATCGGCCAGTGATTTGCTGTCAGCATTGAAGGATCCTTAGGGGAGGCTGTTTACGGGGTGTAAGCCACTTAGCTCCACTTGGATGCCATTTCTGTTCTTGATTTATTGTCATAGGCTGGCTGCATCTGTGAGGTGTTTGTTCAGAAGACTATGTCCACCTCTATAATCAAAGAACACACTACAGAAGACTTTTCACAAAAACTGTACATGCGCCTGATTTGCATCCAGAGTCCAGTAGGAACTACTGAAGTCAAGCTGCTTGCACAGCAGCAGCAGCACCAGCGCTCACATCCTCACTATTAACAACCCCCCTTTTGTTTTGAAGATCCTTGACTGCAGCCTTGATAGCATCCTCTGCCAGCATGCTACAGTGCAGCTTCACTGGAGGTAGAGACAGGTGCTTGGCGATGTCACTGCAGCATAAAAGGTGGTCAGGAAAACAACGTTGAAGGGAGAATAAATGTCAATATGGGTTGCAATCCACAATTAAGCTACTAGACTGAAATTAAAAAAAAAAAAAAAAAACACTTTTTCAGTGGTATTCAAGATGGACGGCGTTATGAGGGTAATATGTCACCAATTTAGAGATCAGTAACTCAGTGGTGACTGTAAAATGGATGGGCCCCGACAGGCAAAACGGTGTGGTACGGTATACTAGAAAAGGCATGCTGGATGAATGACGCAGGAAGGAAACAATAGGTGATTTGAGGCATGCTTTAAGGCGCCTCAAAACAGGAAGAACGGTATGGCACTACAGAAAGCATGCTGGGTAACCAGGACGGAGGCAAAGCGTACCTGTTCTTAATTGTCATGACCTCGTCAACTGACTTCCCCTTCACCCATTCCGTGGCTGCAGGAATAGACAAGAGCACGATAAAAAAAGAGCAGTAAGAAACGAGTATGCGATTCCAACTGAAATAATATTGTCCAGACTGACGAACAAAAGCCGCTTGCTTCCCGCGCGCGTTATCAGTAGGCTTGCATCATTGTCACCAGCGACACTCAGTTCACCAGGCAACACGAATTTCAGCAGACAGCATACGATGACGTGATCCACTTACCCACGGAAGAAGAGGCAATTGCCGATCCGCAGCCAAACGTCTTGAAGCAAGAATCAACAATCTTTCCGTTTTCATCGACCTTGATTTGCAGCTTCATGACGTCACCGCAAGCCGGAGCACCCACTAGACCTGTGCCGACATTCGGGTCGTTCTTATTGAAAGATCCGACGTTACGAGGCTTGTTGTAATGGTCAACGACGTTCTTGTGGTAACCACGCTGTAAAAGTGTTACCAATCGAGTTTGCGAACGTGTACCCGCAACCCGCAGCATCTTCGGTTGAATTCGTGATACTATATACAAGAAAGAGGATCGACACGCCTGCAGGACGCTAGAGAAAGATCGCGGACAACAAACCCGAAGGTTCACTTAACAACCAGATGCAAGCCGTAACCCCGAAGAGCGGAAGCCAGTCCTCGACAGCAGTCAGTGAAGTGGCCTAGAAGCCAAACATGTTAGAAGCTCCTATGTTGGAAGTTAGGGAGGGAATGAAGAGCTAGCACTAAATAGGAGTTCTGCAAACATACACGCTAGCGTGGGGTGGAGCATAATGGCGTGGTGCATGCACCAAGAAGTTCGACTCTTCACCACGCTGTAAGACGCTCAATCCCTCTGTAACGTACTAAGCCGTGCGTAAACCAACCGGATGTGCAACCGATGCTTGGGTTTCAATCTTGGAGCAGATTTGCTGGGGAAAGTATGTGCTGGCTACTATCGTTTTAGGATTCTCTCAAATTTAGTCACAAGGTTTACTCAATCAGTGCGACTCATTGCCATTTCGTTCACGCGACCTCCCACATTATGTTCAAAGTTGGTACTGCAGGCAAAAGTTTTTGACACGTGTCCCAAAAAAATTAAACCCCTAGGGAAGCTGGATGCATTTTCGGGAGGGATCAACCCTAAACACGGGAACCCACCTGGTGTTTAGGGTTGATGCCTCCCAGCGTAAAAAATTGACACGTGTCGAAACTTTCGAGTGGCAGTATGAGTCGTGAACATAATCTGGTATGTGTTTTGAACGGTTTTTCCGAAAGCAGTAGTGTTCGAGTAAACCCAGTATGAAATGTGAACGGTTTTCAATAACCAGGTAGCCAGCACATACTTTCCCGATTTGCTGGGTGCACCAGCAGAAAAGTTGCTCCGTCTAGAAGACGGAGCATCTGACGGAAACGAGAGAATCACATGACGGAAATTGAATGGCAGGCGCTAGCGGAGCGTATCTCGCACAAATCGCTGGCTTTCGTCTGAAGAATTTTCTGTCAACCTCCTTAAGAAGTCTATCTCGTTACAAAGACAACCTTCATGTATGCAAACGCATATACAGAAGCAAGTCACTGATAGTGTACAGGGTGTACATTTCTGTCCAACGTGGAGATACGTTTGTTGGTCCTGCCCGTCGAGGGTTTTGGGCTGGGTCGGGGTTTACGCCGAACAAGAAAATTCCACCGAGGGACATCAGAAATTTCCCTCCCTTGCGTCACTCCGCATGACGTAAGTGTCAGTCCCGATACAGTACTCATAAAAAAGGTCTGATTTGCCAAAAGTTTTTTACAGCATCCCTTCCTCGCCTCATCTCGAAGTGCTTCGACAATCCCAAGGCTACTTTTTTCGGACAGACATCAGGGAGAAACATATTTGGTTTGCGCTATCGCCGTGCCAAGCCCTTTGCAGCAGCCATTCCTTGCCAAGCCCTTTTCACAACTCCGCGGCTGCGCCTGCTCGTCCGGCATTCACGCTGGCTGAGCGTGAATCTCAGGAGTTGCCATAGGCCGCCGTGATATCGTCCACTAGGACCTGCTCGTCCTGCTCCTGCGTCGCTGGTACCTCATCAGTAGAGATTTTCGGTCAGCTACCACTATGGCTACTACCAGCAATGCGCTTGCAGGCCACCATGGCCTCAGGCTTGGACGCCTTCAGAAGGACCAAACGGCTTCGCTTCTATCGCTTCGCCATGATCGAAAAGCGTCGTTTTCCGGATCAGGGAAAATGCAAGTATGGACCAGTCTCTCTCCTTGTTAGGATAAGGGATCAGGTTTGAAGACTCATTATGGGGACCTTTTGCTCGTTGTGTCGCAATGCAACGTGTCGTCGTGCATTTTGCCTTTTAAAGCTTCAGTAAAAAAAACAAAATGCACGCTTCATTCGCTCCCACGACTCTCCAGTCCCTCGCTTCCCTTCGCTCGTTCATGTTTCCCTCCGTTTTCTCCCTTCGCTTTGTTTCCCTCACGTTTCCTCTGTTTGCAGGCGTCCTCATCCCGGTGCCTTCGCCTCGTAGCCACAGCTACTGTCCAGCAGTCCCAGGCCACCAGGTGCGGGAATGACCACTCTTTTCTCCCTGTCTGTTCATGTGCGTGCATGCGTGTATCATGCTCTCTTCGCGCCTGATCTACTTGATCAGTCTGTTTGGCGATTAGGCCGTGATTTTTCCCTGCCATTTTTTTTCTCAGCAACAGTCACTCTGCACGCCCTCGTTTCTTTACGCATATTCATTTGCTGCCGTTACGACCCCGAATCCTCCCTTACCATCCCTTCCCCCACCCACCTCCCCCCCCTCCCCGTCTCTCCCCCCTCCTCCTCCTCCCCCCTCCTTCCTGGGCCACCTCCGCGCGTTTCTGGTTCGCCAATGCAGCGCTCAGTCGCCGGCGTCGCTAGCGATCAAGGAGGACGCGCCGATCAACTTCGACGATCTAGGGTTCGGATTGGTGGAGACGGACTACATGTACGTCGCCAAGTGCGTGCGCGGGGAGGAGTGGCAGCACGGCGAGCTCCTGACCCCTCGTTCCCCACTTTTACATTCCCCTAACTTCCCCTCCCTCCACTCCTCTCCCCTCCCTCCCCTCCCCTCCCCTCCCTTCCTCTCCCCTTCCCCCTCCATCGCCCCGTTCCCCCGTCCCCCCTGCAGCCAGCAGTCCCCATCGTCGCTAGCGATCAAGGAGGACGCGCCGATCAACTTCGACGATCTAGGGTTCGGATTGGTGGAGACGGACTACATGTACGTCGCCAAGTGCGTGCGCGGGGAGGAGTGGCAGCACGGCGAGCTGCGACCGTACGGCAACCTCGAGATTAGCCCCGCCGCTGGCGTGCTCAACTACGGCCAGGTGGGCTGCCAGCGGTGGGCTACGAGAAAGCGTGGGAAAACACGAGAGAAGAATAGAGAAACAACGGAGAACTTCAGAGTTTGGTTTACAGTCTCGAGATGAGCACGACTGCTGACATGTTCAGCTTCCCCACTTCCGCCCTCCATCTCCCCCAGCGCAGGGCCTGTTCGAGGGCGTGAAGTCGCACCGCAGGGAGGATGGGCGCGCGCTGCGCTTCCTCCCGTGGGAGAACGCCAGGCTGAGCATGTGTGCTCCCTTTCTTCCCTCCATCTCCCCCGCCCATCTCTCCCACTCCACCCCTCCATACAGGGCGTGTTCGAGGGCATGAAGGCGTACCGCACGGCGGACGGGCGCGTGCTGCTCTTCCGCCCGCGGGAGAACGCCCTTCGCATGCAGGAGAGCGCGGACCGGCTGAGCATGCCCGGACCCCCGGTTGAGCAGTTTGTGCAGGCCGTGAAGGACACTGTGCTGGCGAACCTGCGATGGGTGAGTCAGTAATGCATGAGAGAGGATAGAGGGGTAGTGGGAGAGATCACGGGTGCATGCAGGAAAGCGCGGACCGGCTCAGCATGCCCGGCCCCCCCGTGGAGCAGTTCGTGCAGGCCGTGGAGGATACTGTGCTGGCCAACCTGCGATGGGTGAGTCAGTAATGCATGAGAGAGGATAGAGGGGTAGTGGGAGAGATCACGGGTGCATGCAGGAAAGCGCGGACCGGCTCAGCATGCCCGGGCCCCCCGTGGAGCAGTTCGTGCAGGCCGTGGAGGATACTGTGCTGGCCAACCTGCGATGGGTGAGTCAGTAATGCATGAGAGAGGATAGAGGGGTAGTGGGAGAGATCACGGGTGCATGCAGGAAAGCGCGGACCGGCTCAGCATGCCCGGGCCCCCCGTGGAGCAGTTCGTGCAGGCTGTGAAGGACACTGTGCTGGCGAACCTGCGATGGGTGAGTGCGTGGAGGGAAGTGAGGGGGCGGAATAGAGGGGGCGGAAGAGAGGGGTTGGAAGAGAGAGGGCGGAGGAGGGAACGTTGGGCGTATGCAGCAGTGCAGCAGAGCACAGACAGGCAGGCTCAGCATGCCTGCTTCCCCCGTGGAGCAGTTCGTGCAGGCTGTGGAGGGCACTGTGCTGGCGAACCTGCGATGGGTGAGTGAGTAAGGGGATGGGAGATGGTGTAAGGGTATTGGAAGCGATCGCCGATGCAGGAAAGCGCGGTCCAACTCAGCGTGCCTGCTCCCCCGGTGGAGCAGTTCGTGCAGGCTATGGAGGGCACTGTGCTGGCGAACCTGCGACGAGTGAGCAGAATGGAGGCCGTGTGCGTGGGGGTCTGAGAGGCGAAGGGAGAGAAGGGAGGCCATGGGCTGGGCCATATGGGGATATTCACGCAGGAAAGTCCGGATATACTGAGCATGCCTGCTTCCCCCGTGGAGCAGTTCGTGCAGGATATGGAGGGCACTGTGCTGGCGAACCTGCGATGGGTGAGCAGAAAGGGGGGGTGGGCTAGAGGGCAGAGATGACTGCAGGCAGAGAGAATGCTTGGTATGCAAGAAGACAAACGGATAGGCTTGTATGCCTGCTCCTTGGCCCCTCGTGGAGCAGTTCGTGCACCCATGGTGGACACTGTTCAGGCGAACCTGTGATGGGTGAGTGGGGAAGGGATGGGTCGGAGGGAGGGGAGGTGAGAGAACGCAAGAGAGAGAATGGAAAGCGCATGCAGGAGAGGGCACACAGACATGCACGCAAGTTCCCTTTTTCTTCCCACCCGCCCCACCTCCCATCACCACTTCCTGCTCTCTTCCCTCTCCCCTCTGTCGTCTCCCAAACCAATCAGGTGCCGCCATGTGGCAAGGGCGCGCTGTACATCCGGCCGCTGCTGGTGGGAACGGGGCCAGTTCTTGGATTGGCACCGGCACCCGAGTACTCGCTGCTCATCTACGTGTCGCCCGTGGGGAACTATTTCAAGGGTGCCACGCTCACGCCCATCAGCCTCAAGGTGGAGGAGCTGTACCACCGCGCTGCTCCTGGTGGCACTGGGAGTGCCAAAGCAATTGGGAACTACTCTCCGGTGAGTGCGGTGCTGTATTGTGCGGTGCTATGTGGTGAGTGTCATCTGTGGGGAACTACTTCAAGGGCGCCACGCTCACCCCCATCAGCCTGAAGGTGGAGGAGCTGTACCACCGCGCTGCTCCCGCCCGGCGGCACTGGCAGTGCTAAAGCAATTGGGAACTACTCCCCGGTGAGTGCTGTATTGAGCGGTGCTGTGCGGTGCTATGTGGTGAGTGTCTCCGGTGGGTAACTGTCTCGCTCACCCCCATCAGCCTCAAGGTGGAGGAGCTTTACCACCGCGCTGCCCCTGGTGGCACTGGCAGCGCCAAGGCCATTGGGAATTACTCCCCGGTGAGTGTGGTGCTGTGCGGTGCAGTACGGTGCTGTGTGGTGGTGTGCTGTGCAATGCGGTGCTCACGCCCATCAGCCTCAAGGTGGAGGAGCTTTACCACCGCGCTGCCCCTGGTGGCACTGGCAGCGCCAAGGCCATTGGGAACTACTCCCCGGTGAGTGTGGTGCTGTGCGGTGCAGTACGGTGCTGTGTGGTGGTGTGCTGTGCAATGCGGTGCTCACGCCCATCAGCCTCAAGGTGGAGGAGCTTTACCACCGCGCTGCCCCTGGTGGCACTGGGAGTGCCAAGGCCATTGGGAACTACTCTCCGGTGAGTGCGGTGCTGTGTGGTGCTCTGCGGTGCTGTGAGGTGAGTGTTTCTGGGGAACTACTTCAAGGGCGCCACGCTCACCCCCATCAGCCTCAAGGTGGAGGAGCTGTACCACCGCGCTGCTCCTGGTGGCACTGGCAGCGCCAAGGCCATCGGAAACTACTCCCCGGTGAGTGTGGTGTGGTGCGGTGCTGTGCGGTGTGGTGTGGTGTGACGTGGTCTGCAGTACGGTGCTCACGCCCATCAGCCTCAAGGTGGAGGAGCTGTACCACCGTGCTTCCCCTGGTGGCACTGGGAGTGCTAAAGCGATTGGGAACTACTCCCCGGTGAGTGCTGTGCGGTTCTGTGCGGTGTGATGTGGTGTGGTGTGGTGTGCTGTGCTGTGCGGTGCTCACGCCCATCAGCCTCAAGGTGGAGGAGCTCTACCACCGCGCTGCCCCTGGCGGTACTGGGAGTGCCAAGGCCATCGGAAACTACTCCCAGGTGAGTGTGGTGCTGTATAGAGGTGCAGTTGTGCTGTTTGTAAGGCTGACTGGCTGGATGCGATTGAAAAGCACTGATCATTAAACTCCATAGTTTGTTCAGATCTCTGCTGTCACTTAGCCACTTACCACCACCACCCTCCTCCTCTTCCCTTCACCCGCTTCCCCTCTCCTTTATCTCCCTTATGTTTCTCATTTTCAGGTGCTCAAAACGCAGATTGCTGCAAAGCAAGACGGGTTCTCCGATGTGGTCTACCTCGATGCGCAAGAAAACAAGTATGCAGTGTGTGCTGCTGCTGCTGCTGTTGTTGTTTCTGCAAAAACTGTTACTGGTGTTGTTGCTGTTGCTGTGTGTGCCACTGCCCATACCCCTGTGCTGTTTTTTATGTGTGTTTTTGTTCTGCCCACCAGGTACATTGAGGAGGTGTCATCGTGCAACATCTTTGTGGTGAAGGACAATGTCATCTCCACGCCTGACCTACGCGGCACCATTCTCGCAGGCATCACCCGCCGCAGTATTCTTGAACTCGCCCACTCCCTGGGCTACAAGGCAAGTGTTTTTTGAGTTGACTGGGATCTACGAGTCAATTCTTTTGTCAACGCCCTAGTCTAGTCACATTAGGCCACCTTTCTTCCTGGGCTACAAGGCAAGTGCTGTCTGGCCTGACTAACAGTCATTTTGTAAGAGAACCATTCTGCAGGCTCTTCCTGGCTTCTATCATTATTACTGAATGCCCCACTCCTGCGGCCGCAACCTCCCACCCATCCTTCCACGCCTCTTTCAGACGGAGGAGCGCCAGGTGTCGATTGAGGATTTGCTGGGAGCAGATGAGGTGTTCTGTACGGGGACAGCTGTGGTGCTCTCTCCTGTGGGTGCTGTGACATTCAGAGGGAACAAGTAAGTTGACCCTAATATGTACTATAAGAAATTTTATGTGGGGAGTATAAGAAACTTTCCCTTCATTGGCCAGCCATGAATTTTCATCATACTGATGACCCCTTACTCCCCTTCACCCAAACCAGGACTACGTTCGGTGATGGAGAAGCAGGGAAGGTTTCACAGCTGCTGTACGAACGGCTCACTAACATTCAGAAGGGCGTGGATCCGGACACCATGGGATGGACAGTCCAGATTGCGTGAACGTGATGGCTTTCTGCGTGCTTGAGTGTACTTGAGTGTACTAATGTGTTATCAATGGTAGTGAAAGCTTTTACAACTAGAGAATAGGCAAGTCTTCGGAAGGTGCAAAATGCTGTTTTTATACTAGGATCTGGATGTGCGTGAGTGTAAAGGGGAAAGTTCAATATGATAATAACAGGGAATTGACGGTCATTTCAAAAAGCTTTGGCCTTGTACAATGGGCCGCCTGTGAACTCGCTCTCCTTTCTGTCTGAATGATACGTTCACCTAGCAAGTGTTATTATGTTAGCCATCAGGTTTCATTTCTGCGTTCGCGAAATCCCCCCGTTTGTTACAATCCGGTGGCAACCACCTCAGAGACATGTGTTTCAGGTTTTGCGAAACCAAGTGCACAGGACAGTGCTGGCCCGTCAGGACAGAGATCCTTTTTTGAGGTTCTTGGTACTCCCAGTACGGTGCCCTACGTTTCCACACGGTAGACATCCTCTGTGAGTACATACCGCCTTTGACCGTAACGAATCGCAAATCACCATGGAGAAATTTGTCGCATGCCCCCGATTCATATCGCCCTCTTCCCCCTTCCCTTCCCTCAACTGGTTCGGGACCAGAAGCCCTCTCGGCCCAACCCTTCCATAAGTCCCATAACCAGCTTCACATAAAATCCTTTCCTCAAGGTACTGGTGCCTGCCGCATTTGCTCCGCGCTCGACCCTGTTGCCTGTTATCCTCGGCGCTACCTATTCGTGAGCTAGGAATAGTACGCAGCCCAACAGCGGCTTCGCACGACTGATTGTCTCTTTTGATACAGATAGTCTACGTGTCTTGAAGAATGGGGCCTCCTCGTGGGAGAGGTACGCGCCGGCTTCTCGTCTTATTGTCAGCTGACGGCGCTCAATGTCATAGCACGCTGCATTGCGGTTTCTGGAACTTTCAACGATTTAGCCCATAGACCATTTTGTGATGACACGTACCATTCGTCGGTTTGTCTTTCTTTTGCTCTATGTTCAGGCGGGTTCGGCGGCAGAGGCGGCGGCGGAGGCCGCGGAGGCTTCGGCGGACGGGGCGGAGGCGGAGGCCGCGGGGGTTTCGGCGGGCGTGGCGGGGGCCGCGGGGGAGGAAGGGGTGGCCGCGGAGGGCGCGGAGGAAGAGGGGGAGGGCGTGGGGGTATGAAGGGCGGAGCCAAAGTGGTGGTGGAGCCTCATCGCCACGAGGGTGTGTTTGTCGCGCGTGGAAAGGAGGATGCTCTTGTCACGAGGAACATGGTTCCGGGGGAGAGTGTTTATGGCGAGAAGCGGATCAGCGTCGAGGTGCGTCGGATTTAGTATGCCCACATTGTGTACACCCGGTTTCCGTTTTAGCGCAGCGAGCCTGGTTTGCCGTGGTCTTGTGCACTTTTGATTTTCCCATTCACACACTTGCCTATACGTTGTTTTTCAAACTTACTATGTTGTCCGAAACCCTTTCAGCTGGAGGAAGGGAACAAGGTGGAGTACCGCGTGTGGAACCCTTTCCGATCCAAGCTCGCGGCCGCTATTCTCGGTGGTGTCGACAACATTTGGATTGTACGTCCTCTTTACAAGCATCTCCTGCATTATTTGTTCTCACTTAAAGATGTTATTGGTAACTTTCTTCTTATTTGACTATTCTGATTCTCGTTCACTTACGGCCTATCCTTGCTCAATGCTTGCAGAAACCCGGGTCTCACGTGCTCTACCTCGGTGCTGCCTCCGGCACTACCGTCTCCCACGTCTCCGATATTGTTGGACCGGTAAGGGTTTTCACGGAAATTTCTACACCTGTAGTTGCGAAGGTCCTGTCGACTTTCTTGCCAAACGTCATTCCTTCATATACCCCCTGTCCCCGCTCCTGACCCCACATGACCCCCCTCTCAACCCCCCGACTACCCTTGGTATCCTTTATTCGCCTTGTCACTAGCACTGATTCGCGTTCCTTTTTGTCATTTAAATCTTTCCCCAGACGGGAATCGTGTACGCCGTGGAGTTCTCTCATCGGTCGGGTCGCGATCTCGTTAACATGGCCAAGAGGCGGACCAACGTGATTCCCATTATCGAGGACGCCAGGCACCCGCAGCGCTACCGCATGCTCGTCGGCATGGTGGATACGATCTTCGCTGACGTGGCGCAACCAGATCAGGTTCTTTTCTTTACCTGAAGCAAGGTTTGATGCAATTGAAGATCAGATCTTATCATGTGACATGCAGATTTGTGCAATCATGTTTTGTTTTGCGTTCTACCCGGGTTTTCTGGAGCCTTCCTCCGATTCTTCCCCTTCCCCGCTATAAGCATTCCATTCGATGTAAGGGAGGAGAGTGGCCAGCAAATGATGATTGGACTGGAGTCGGATTCCCCATACACGAATGTAAAATCGTGAAATTCTGTCCTTCAAGGCTGATGTTGCGACCACTCTCCTCCTACCCGACATGACCACGTCAAACTATTTGCGTACCTTTGTTAGTGCAGAATGAAGGCTTTCTTTTGCCGGATTATCATATTCTTGAATCCTTCTTTGGTGATACATTGTTGTTGGCTTACCCTTATCAGGCTGTACACCTTGTTTCTCTATCGCTGTCCCACTGCGGGCTTTCCCTTTCTCCTTTTCCTCTTCCTTCCCCTCCCTGTTTCTTCCCCCCCCAAAACCCCTTTCCATTGCCTACCCCATTTCCTCCTTGCTTTTCTTGCTCCCCATTGTCCTACTGCGTTTCCCCTTGCGATTCCCCCCACTCCATGTCAACATCCCTCCCCCTCTATAAACCTCCTCAGGCTCGTATTGTTGCCTTGAACGCTCATTATTTCCTCAAGACGGGCGGCCACTTCGTTATAAGCATCAAGGCCAACTGTATTGATTCTACAGTGCCTGCAGAAGCAGTGTTTGCAAAAGAAGTGGCAAAATTGCAGCAGGAGCAGTTCAAGCCTGCTGAGCAACTGACGCTGGAGCCATATGAAAGAGACCATGCTTGTGTGGTTGGTGGTTACCGCATGCCTAAGAAGAAAAAGGATGCTAAATAGTTCGCCTGTTTTTATTCGTGCAGACTGAAAGTGCTGTACTTACGGTAGACATTGTGCAATAACAATATTTTTTGCCTGCTGTTATATTCAGTTGTATCTACCCAAGTTTTGTGAAAAAAAGGTTGCAGCATAAACACTAAAGCTTTTGGTCTTGACTTGAAACCCCCAGGCCAAGAACTTAGCAAGACAATTGGCCAAGTTTTTGGGTGCTATGGCCGAGGCAATTTGGGCCTTCTTGGCCCTCCGGTTTTAAATTGAAGCCTTGTCCAAATGTATCACACAAGCACGATATAACACATTTGATTTCCCCAAGCCATTAACAACACAAAGTTGCCGTTACCAGCCTGTAACAGGAAACTGTGCTCCTGATCCCGTAAGAGAAGGAAACTGTGCACCTGGTTTTCCCAAATACTAGGTGGGTTTTCCAAACCCATCTCACAATATCAGCTCACACTACAAAGCAACAGGCTCCCTGTCCCTCTCTTCTGCCTGCTTGCCCTTCCCCTTCCCCTCCACTTTCTCCCATCCCACTTCCTCCTTCCTCACCTCCCTCTCCTCCTCCCCAGCACTCTCATTTGATCCGCTCGACTCAGCAGCAAGATACATCTTCCTCCTCCGGTCCACCCCCTGTCTCGAGTACTCCCTCCATCTCCTAGCCGCTGCCGCCGCCCGCCTGACTTTCTCCTGGTTGATAGGGTTACTACTGCTAGCAGCCTTATCATAGACGTCAAGCGTCAGTGTCGCCTCTCCAGGAAGTTTGCTCCCCGCCCATCCCCATGGCCTCGCTCATGGTCTCCCACAGCGGCTTGTTGTACTTGCCTGCCTTCCCGTCCCTTGCTGCCTGCGCCTTGGCCTTGGACTGGAGGGAAGAAAGGGAGGGGGTGGGAGCAAGGAGATTGAAGGAGGAACTAGGGTACCAGACAGTGGCTTGTTGTACTTCCCTGACTTGCCGTCCCTTGCTGCCTCCGCCTTTGCCTTGGACTGGAGGAATGGGAGGAGAGAGAGGGATGGGGGTTGAGGTAAAGAGAGGGATATGAAGGCTGCTCTGTGTGCCTTGGAACCTCTCAAAACCGCAACGCACCCACCAATCCCAGCTCACTGGCGCACTGAGAGGTCTCACAATGCCAAACCACACACACACTTGCGACCAAACTCACCAGCGCTCTGGTCCGTCTCTTCTCCCATCTGGAATTCGCCTGCATGAACACGTCAGCTCCGCGGCTGCTCTGCGCCTGCATGATGGCGACGCTCACTCGCTCCATGCGCCTCATCTCGTCCTCTAGTAGCGCCAGCTGCGGCGCTGTCACCCAGTGAATGCACGACACGGGGCTGACGGGGATGGGGGTTGGGGAGGGGCAAAGGAGTAGAGGAGCAGAGGGGTGTGTATGATAGCAACGCTCACTCGCTCCATCCTTCGCATCTCGTCCTCCAAAAAAGCCAACTGCGACGCTGTCACCCAATGGATGCACGACACGGGGCTGACGGGGTAGAGGGTGAGACAAGAAGGGAGGAAGAGAAGCAGGGAGGGTGTGGGAGGTTGGGGTAGTGGGAGAAAGAGAGGGATGAGGAGGGGGGGGTGTCGGGGGGAAAGCAAGCAGAGAAGAGTAAGAATGAAGCTGAGATGTTAGCGGGACTCGATAGCACAGGCATAGAATAAAGTTTGACCTGGCTTGACTCAACGATAGACCTGCGTTGAATCGCGTTGACTCACCATGTCTCAACAGCCTCCTGGATCTTGGCGGGCGCGTTGCCGCCCTGGTTGCACACGCGCGCGCGCCCCCACATCTCCTCAATCTCGAATGTCTCCTCCGCGGTGTTAGCGCAGTTCTTGCAACCTAATAACGGGGATATTGAGGAAAGCAAAAGCGAAAAGAACTTCGATTATGAAAACAGTGTTGCTAAGATTGGGAATGGGATATGGCGGAATAAAGGGAGGCACTTTCACAGCACATGGGTTAATGGGCGTTAGGGAGAGTGTTCCTTTCATCTCATATTACACCGCATCCTCGATACAAGCATTTACTCACCAATGCACGTGAACTCGTCGACGAACACTTGGTCTTTCTCGTGCCGCGTGTCCATGAACGGATTAATCGACGTCAGCGAATAGCCCTTAATCTCATCGTAGACGAGCCGCATCTCGGGGTCACTTAGTACCTATTGCAGGGGAAAACAATAGAAGCCGAATGCGGACAATAGCTCGCTTCTAGTTCCGAAAAAAAAAAAAAAAAAAAAAAGAGGCGATGCCGAAATCGCAGTGGCAGGAGAGCGTTGCAGAGAACAGAAACTGATACCTTTACGCGGATAACTCATTAACGCGTACACGACGACAGCTTTGTAACGCACCTCGTACACCTCGTTGACGAAGGAGCAGAAAGCAACGCTGTCGGGGTGGTTGTTGCTGAGATCCGGATGGCACGCCTTCATGCACGCGTAGTACGCGCGCTTGATCTCCTCGGGCGTCGCGTCGCACGTCTGACAGAGTGGAGGGGAGAGGTGGGGGGGGGGAAGGCGGGTGGGGTACAAAATTGACCGTTAACAAGGGATGAACTCTGAGGTGGTGCTGCTGAGATCCGGGTGGCACGCCTTCGTGCACGCGTAGTACGCGCGCTTGATCTCCTCGGGCGTCGCATCGCACGTCTAAAACAGTGGGGGGCGTGGGGGAGGGGGGAGCGGGCGGAGGAAGGGGAGGGGGGGAAGGAGGGGTTGGGCACAAGGGACCAACAATAAGGGATGGAATCTGAGGTGGTTGTTGCTGAGTTCCGGATGGCACGCCTTCATGCACGCGTAGTACGCGCGCTTGATCTCCTCTGGTGTTGCGTCGCACGTCTGGAGTAAGAGCAAAAGGGACAGTTGAGGACGTCAATTTTCTAACTGAATCCCAAGTTTGCTGAACAGGCTAACGTTTTGGCGTTCACTTCGACGAAGCAAAAGCTCAAGGAAAGTTCCAAGCTACATGGTCCACATTCCATTTGAAATAGCGACAAACGCAGGCGTGTAAGTCGGTGAATAATCGGCCACGCACGACATACCAAGCCGAGGATGGAGTAATAGTCGTCGGCTATGCTCTCGCCCTCCACATCAACCTCCTCCTCTGTCAACGCTCTCACGCGCAACCTTCCCGCTGCCCCCTCTCCCGCCGCGTCCCCCATCCCCCCCGTCCCCCTCCTGCCGAGCCAGCTTCCGCTGAGCGATCTTCCCCCGAGCGCGCTCCGCAAAGCTGTCCTCCGAACAGCGGAGGACGACGCGCAGCGGAATGACGGGCTGTCCACGTGGCAGGATTGTCGGCACGTGGCTAGCGGGCCGACGCCGGACGGGAGGGTCGTGGTCGCCATTGTGCTGGGCAACTGCTTTTGCGAGTAGACGAGGAAAGTTACCGACACGCGGAGGAGTGCACCGCGCCGCGCCTCTGCGACGAGTGATGAATTTTGTACGGGAATGTTACGGCTGCCGTGCACTGATGTGCGCTGTTACAACTAGTTTCAACTACGTTTGGAAGCCTGCACCGTTGTTACCTGAATGACTTCCAACTACTCAGGTGTTATCCAACAAGGCTGGTAGGGAAGCGAAGGGTTGTGCGAATGGGAGAAAGATATTCCCCCCCTTCAGCCCAGCGCTATCCCGCCAGCTCACAAAAGTCAAGTTGAACGCAGATGTTGGGATAGGGAAGCAGCTGTACAAGATCAGTGGGGATGCGGTGTGTCTGGAAAATGAGAACTGAATTAGAGGTAAATGCAGCCAAAACTATCTTTTGAGGAAGAAGGGTGGAGGGCGGTTAGGGGGTTTGGGATTCCACCATACCAGAATACCAAGCCTAGAAGTTCCCGGCGCTTCGTCGAGACTGCACGATGTCTGACGTTTGGATTCGCAGATTGTAGATTCACCATCGAACGGATACTGCGCCATCAGACGGACGATCGTGCCACCTGGACGGTTAAGGTGGGCCGTTGAATGTGGAACGAGGAAAGGGTCTGCGTCCTGGTGGGGTGCATGGTCGCCAGCTAAGGAAATCCTGAACGCAAATGATTATCTGCCAGCTGGTAAATGATTGAAGAGGCGTAAGCGAATCAAATGTGAAGCCGAACAGCGAAAGTGCGGGAGATTGGTTCGTTAGGTTCCAGGCTTGTGGGGATTTGAGCAGAAAGCCATCATGAAATGCGGAATTGCCAGCGAATAACATGTCATTCGTAGCTATTGGCTGTGCATACAGATGTCGAGGTGGACGCGAGTCACGGACATGACCAGCACATGGATAACACGTGAAATATACGTACGCTATAAAAGCTCCGAGTTGTATCGGATTAGCAGGAGCAACTTCCTACAAATAAGTGCCTTAGTTTTGAAGGACAAGATTCAAAATAAGGTGGCCAAGCCGAAAGATTCACCTTCAAGCGCTTAAAGGCGGTAGAGGGGGGTGATTCCAAGAAGCTCAAAGCACTTCCTCATAACCACAGCCGTGGCTTCACACAAGATGAGTCGGCTATCCTCGTACTCGTTGCCAACCACCTGGCAGTTGGTGTAGAACGTTGTGAAGCTCCCAGAGAGGTTGTAGAGATACTCGCATAGCGTGTTTGGAAGCAAATCCTGCACTGCACTCTCAACAACCTGTTGGAAAGCCAAGTGGGTTTGGTGGATGAAAATGAGAGAGGAAAAATTGGTTTGAACGAGGATAAAACACAGCGTAGCTTGAAGAAAACACATATGTGAAACATACAACTATGCGCAGAACCTTCGCACGCTGATTTCCAAACACTGCATGCACGCGCCAGGAAACATACCTCCGAGAATCGGCTGAGCTCGAGCGCAAGAGCCCGCTCACTCGGATGGTCCAATCTGAGCTTTGTTCCACTCTAAAGGAGCGAAAGAAACGAGAGGGTGAGTAAAGGGAGGAACAAAGGGAGAAGAATAAGACATATCAGCACAGAATATAAGATCCCGACACACCAGATGGAAAAGTGTTATATGAAGCGCATAGAAACTTTCAAACCGAGGCTCCATAATAAGGATTCTAACACAACAAAAGAAGGAATGTTCTCGAACTCAAGTTTTTGTTGTACTCACCTGAACAATCTCCTGGACGTTCTTCCCAGACTTGCGAATGATGGAGCAGATACGCGCATGCGCGTACAGCAGGTAGACCGCAGTGTTACCCTGGTGGGGGAATAAGAGGATGACACCATTCCCAAGCAATTGAGACTTGGTGGGGGAATAGCAGGAATGACAGGAACTGGAAAGCAGCTATGGGCGTTCATGGAAAAACCCGTCGCTAGGTCACTGCCAATCCAAAAAAAGAAGGCCGAAAGAAAGGAAACAAAAAAGAAAAAACCAAACGAAGTACCACAATTACGACCATCAATTTCACCTTCATATCAAGCATTTGGTCATAATCAAACGTGTAGTTGGTCAGCCGGTTGTTCTTCAGATCAGCGTATCTGCGACAATAAGGGGGTCATGACGAGGAGGACATGAGTAAGGGGCGTCACAGAGGTAAAAGTACTTAACACTCACTGGGCAGGGCAGGGGCGTCACTGGCCACAGCCCCAGGCGAGAGCCGCACAACCCAGGGAGGCAGCCGCTCAGAGCGTGAGCCGCGCAGCCCAGGGCGAATTGGCTTACCTGCCTGCTGAATTGGCTAAAAGCACACCATATCTATCAATCGGCACTCGAGTGTCCTGAATATCTAGACGACTCAAGTCCCGCTGACAGCCGTCATATCACCACCTTCATTCTGAGAAGCACGTCCCATACTGCCACTCACTTGATTGCCCCATAGCCCAGAGCAGCTGCTGCTGCATTGAGGCGATTTAAAGCACAGTATATATAGCCTGTGAGTCACCCCACACTAGCACTCCCCACACTAGCACTCCCACGCCTCACAAGCACTCCCACTAGTCAGCCCACACTCGAGTGTTCCTTTCTCACAAGCACGTCCCACACTGCCACTCACTTGACTGCCCCATAGCCCAGAGCAGCTGCTGCTGCTGCTCAGAGCACAGCAGCTATAACCTGCAAATCGGCCCACACTCGAGTATTCCTTTCTCACAAGCACACCCCACAAGCACTCACTTGACTGCCCCATAACCCAGAGCAGCCGCTGCTGCATTGACCTCTTCATCCTTCCATTCACCCTCCCGACCTGATGGGATAAAATGGAAGTGATGGGGGTAAGGCGGAGCGGAGTGATGACTTGTTTCCAAGAGGCAAAGAGAAGCAGCGTCGGATAAAGAGTTGTTGTTTATTGGTAATTTGTTTGTTCGTTTGCAATTTTGGTACCAGCAAGGCGAAGGGATACGTGCTGATGCTGATGCTGATGCGCTGATGCTGATGCTGATGCGCTGATGCTGATGCTGATGCGCTGATGCGCTGATGCTGATGCTGATGCGCTGATGCTGATGCTGATGCGCTGATGCTGATGCTGATGCTGATGCGCTGATGCTGATGCTGAGAGGACGCAACCAACCCCTACCGCCTCACCTCGCTCAACAAGCCCCTGCTTAGCGCGAGTAACAGCCTCGTCAAGCAGGTCAACCAGCCGCACCACCTTGCTGCTGCTATTGATGCTCTTCACACCCACCAAACCATCCGCACCGCCCCTAACCACCCACAATTCCCTGATTGACTCACCTCGTTCCACAAGCCCCTGCTTGGCGCGGGTAACAGCCTCATCAAGGAGATCCACCAGCCGCACCACCTCGCTGCTGCGCGTGCGAAACCGCTTCCCATCCTCGCCCAGCACACCAGCACTACTTCCCCTCCCCCCTCAACACCCCCAACCACCTTTCTTCGCAGCCACATACCTCGCTCAACCAACCTCCAACCTCTCCTTCACCCCTCCACTCAACCCTTAGGACTCACCTCGCTCAACCAACCCTTGCTTGGCGCGAGTAACAGCCTCATCCAGCAGGTCAACCAGCCGAACCACCTCGCTGCTGCGCGTGCGGAACCGCTTCCCATCCTCGCCCAGCACCAGCCCGAACCCCACATGGTCCACACGGATAGCGGGTGCTGTGCTTTCATCCGCACTCGCTGCTGCTGCCTTGCCCTTCTTGGCCTTGCCAGCATAGAAGCCCGCCTTTTGGGCTGCCTGGAAGGAAAAAGATTAAGAGGTTCAAGAGAAAAAGACCAAGAATTTAACAGGGTACAAGAGAGGATCCGCTTCCCATCCTCGCCCAGCACAGGGCCAAGCCCGACATGCACTCGAATAGCGGGTGCTGCCCTTTCTGCTGCTTCTCCCTCCTCTGCTTTTGCTGCACTGCCCTTCTTGGCCTTGCCAGCATAGAAGGCTTGCAGAATACGTCACATAGGAAAAGCAAGCAGCTCACTTTTAAAAAACATGTCCAAGTGCTGTGACTGCCCAGCGGTAAGTGAGACGATCATTGAAACAAGCCAACAGCTCACCTTAAAAAACATGTCGAAGTGCTGCGACTGCCCAACGTCCGTGACATACACGACCCACTCTGCCTTCTCCTCTCTCCTCCACTTTCAGATCTTCCAGACCTTGCAGAATACGTCACAGCCCCTTTCTAAACGAATGCAGGAAAAGCAGCTCACCTTGAAGAACATGTCAAAGTGCTGCGACTGCCCCACGTCCGTGACATACACGACCCACTCCGCCTTCTCCTCCTCTATGCGGTACCTGGGAGGGATTGGGAATGCAGGGGCAGGACAGAGCGAGCTGAGAGGTGAGGGAGGGGAAGGGAGGCAAAGCAAGTGAGGTGGCACCACGTGACTGACATAGACGACCCACTCCGCCTTCTCCTCCTCTATGCGGTACCTGGGGGGTGGGGTGGAGCGGGAGGGGAGAAGAAAAGGCAGGTAAGGTCAGCAGTAGTAGCATTTGTACACCCCTCATCACTCTTGGTGATGATCAGAGGCAAATTGCGACCCTCCACGAATATGCCACTGCGCCCCCTCGCCCCCTCGCCCCCTCGCCCCCTCGCTCGCACCCGCTCGTTTGCTATCCCCTTCGCACTCTTCCTCACTGTTCACTGTCACCACTACCAGTCAGGCAGCTCACAGCAGGCAGGTGAGATCGGTGGTAGCGTAATTGAACCCTCCGTCGCTCTTCACCACGATCAGAGGCACCTTGTGGCCCTCCAGGAATATGCACTGCGCCCCCTCGCTCTCCCTCTCACCGTCCCATTAACCTTTACAACACTATCAGAGAACAGCAAGTGCCAAACGACTCACAGCAGGCAGGTGAGATCCGTGGTGGCGTAGTTAAAGCCGCTGTCGCTCTTGACGCCGATGAGAGGCACCATGTGACCCTGGATACACACACAAGCATACTGCACGGCGCATCTACATATCAACTCACAGCAGGCAGGTGAGATCAGTAGTGGCATAGTTGAACCTTCCGTCACTCTTCACAGCGATCAGAGGCACCTTGTGGCCCTCCACGAAGATGCACTGCGTCCCCTCGCTCTCCACCACGAGCCAGAGAGAGGAAATGACAGGGCTTGTTCCGGCAAGGCTACAGGCACTCACAGCAGGCAAGTGAGATCAGTAGTGGCGTAGTTAAACCCTCCATCGCTCTTCACCACGATCAGAGGCACCTTGTGGCCCTCCACGAAGATGCACTGCGCCCCCTCGCTCTCCACCACCAGCCCAGCTGCTTTGAGCTTCTCCAATGCCGCAGGGATGCGCGAGTTGTAGAACGACTCGCCCTGACCGGGGGGGGGGGGGGGAGGTAGGGGAGTGGGAGCAGTGTGCGATGAGGAGGAGTGCATAACCCATAGCTACCAAACCCATTCCCCCTCTCCCTGATGCTGCAGGGTGTTTTTGAGAATTCTCAGAAACACCCTGCAGCATCATGGAGGTGAGGAGGAGTGCATAGCCCAAAGCTACCAAACCCCTTCCCTCTCTCCCCCCTCGCTCTCCACCACCAGCCCGGCCACCATGAGCTTCTCCAGTGCTGCAGGGATGCGCGAGTTGTAAAACGACTCGCCCTGGTTGATGGGGGAAAGGGAAGAGTGGGTGGGTTGGAAATGAGAAGAAAAGAACCAACCAAAAGCCCCACGCCCTGCGGTATTCCTCCTCCTCACCCTGCAGCTTCACCACCGCCCTCTGCGCTCTCTCCTTGGACTTTCTACCCTGGGTAGGGAAAAGAGCTTTTAAGGTTCCCCGTCACCTCTGTGCACCGTTTTCTACCACTGGAGAAACACCAGCAAACCAACCTCTACAACCTCACCTTCTCCTCGAGTTTGATGCCCAGGCGTTGGTACACCAGATCAAACTCCTTGCGGCTGACGTCACAGATCTTGGCCCATGCCCTGCGGTACTCCTCCTCGCCCCCCTGCAGCTTCACCACCGCCCTCTGCGCCCTCTCCTTGAACTCCGCGTCCTCATCAAAGCGCTTCTTGGCCGCCTTGTAGAAGACTTGCAGATCTCCTATGGCCTGATCGCCGATGGTTTCCCAGTCAGGGAACTTGTCGAATAGATACTCTATGAGCATGCCGAACTGCATGGGGGGGTGTGGAGGGGTGTGTGTGTGCGTGGAGGAAGGAGGGAGGAGAAGAGGGATGGGAAGAGTGGAAGGTGGGTGATGACCCGAGCAAATATCTCCTCTCCTTGGACTCCGAGTCCTCATCAAACCGCTTCTTAGCCGCCATGTAAAACACCCGCAGATCGCCTATAGCCCGCTCGCCCACCGTCTTACAGTCAGGGAACTTGTCGAACAGGTACTGTATCAACATACCAAACTGTATGCCCTTGACTCTCTCCTTAAACCCTAGACCCTGACCCCTTGAACCATCCGAGCCGCAGCCATACATTCTACCTGCGTGCCCCAGTCGCCGACACAACTGAACCCAAGCGGCAGTACTCCCCCAACCTTTCTCTTAAACGCCACACCTGAAACAGCTTAATCCACGCCATCCAAAACCCCTAAACACTTGCCCTACCTGTGTGAACCAGTCGCCAACGTGGTTCCTCCTCAGCACCTCCACGTGGCAGTACTCCAGCATCCCCTTCACCCTCCCTTAAACCCTTAACCCCGAACCCCCTTACCTGCGTGCCCCAGTCGCCAACGTGGTTCCTCCTGAGCACCTCCACGTGGCAGTACTCCAGCATCCTGGCCAGAGTATCCCCGATAATAGTCGAGCGCAGGTGCCCCACGTGCATCTCCTTTAACCATCCCTTAAACCCTAAACCCTCGCCATACCTGTGTGCCCCAGTCGCCGACGTGGTTCCGCCTGAGCACCTCCACGTGGCAGTACTCCAGCATCCTCGCCAGCGTATCCCCGATAATAGTCGACCGCAGGTGCCCCACGTGCATCTCCTTGGCGATGTTGGGCGACGAGAAGTCCACCACTGCCCGCGTGACAGGCAGCTTGGGAGCCCAGGCGGCGATGCCAGCGCCCTTGAGCACGCCCAACACGTGGTCTTCCAGCCACGCTTGCGTCAAGACGATGTTCACGAAACCCGGGCCGGCGATGCTCGTCTTTTCCACCATCGGGGACGGCGGCAGGTTCTTGGCAATTGCCTGGGTGGGGAGGGAGGGAAGGGTAGCGGCACGGGGATGGATGGATAGGCTTTCATTCCTTGATTGATGAGAAGATGCGTCTTGGTGCTGTTTTGGGGCTGTCTTAAGGGCTCTTAAGGGCTGTTGATTTGGTCACTGACAAGGGCTGTCCACCATAGGCCGTGAGGCCTAGTCCAACCAACAACATCACCGCCAACAACGTTGAGCCATAAGGTGTCCTGTCCTGGCTAGATGGCATTGAACCAACTCTCACCTGGCCAATGGCGTTGGGATTCTTGAACTCAGTGGTGGATCCCTTGATGCGCGACCAGATGCCCATGGCGTTGTTGCTGCGAATACGTGGGGGGGATCGGAGACAGGCAGGGGGACAGGCAGAGGGACGGACAGGTGAAGAAGAGAACCCCAGGCAGACAGGGAGACAGGCAAAGAGACAGATGGGGACAGGGCTTTCGAGGCGCCTATAAAACCAGATGCTCATGGCGATGTTGCTGCTTGCACACACGAAGGATCGCAGTTAGGTGGTCACATGGTCACATGGTCACATGGTCACATGCTCACATCACATGGTCACATGGTCACATCACATGGTCACATGGTCACATCCCATGGTCACATGGTCACATCACATGGTCACATCACATCCCATGGTCACATCACATCCCATGGTCACATCGTCACATGGTCACATGGTCACATCCCATGGTCACATCACATGCTTCTTCACATGGTCACATGAAGAAGCAGACGCACCATTGGTAGTCCCCGAACTTGGGGTTGTTACACGTGGTAACCAGCGGCTCCAGATCGGGCAGGTCGGGAAAAGTTTTCGCCAGAGACTGTGCCACGAGCTGGGCAACCAGGTCACGTACGCTGCCCTCCTGACCCTGGCGGGCAGAGAAAAATAGGCGAGAGGAAGGCGAGGGAGAAGGGAAAGTTCAGGGGGAGGTGAGATCAGAGACAGTAAGAGGAAACGTGTGGGGTTCCGGGGGGGGGGGAGGGGGGGGGAAGGGGGGGGAACGACGGGGAGGAGGGGGAGGAGGGGGAGAAGGGGGACGGAAGGTTGCAGGTAGGCTTAAAGGGATCTGTCGAGTCGACTAAACACTCATGGACCAACCCGAAACACCTCCCCCTCGCCGCTGCCATTTCCATGCCTTCCCTACCCACCTTCTCTCCACCGCTGATCTCCATCGATTTCACCACTTCGGCCGCCGCTGCTGCAGATTCGCTCGCCATCGATGCGACGCTTGAGGAGTTTCGCGAGGGTTTCGCGAACGCTGTTACAGGTGCTGCGATTTGCGCAGAGAGAGGGTTCGCGGAACGCCAAGGGAAGGCCGAGGCGGAAGCGGAAGCGGAGGCGTAGTGGCGGAGAACCGCGGGGGCCGCGGAAGTGCGGAGAACCGCGGGAGCAGCGGCAACTTGCGGATAGGACGAAATCCGAGCGTAGGAGCCGAAGCAGCGAAGGCAAGGAGTCACCACTGCCAGTGACGCAGGAAGCCAGGAGAGTATGGAAAGGAAAGGAGGAGCAAAAGTGAAAAGGGTTTGGTTAAGCCTGCTTTGGCGAGAAATGCCACGAATCCAGACGCTTGCGGGGAAAGTGCTTGGAGCGAGGTATTGGCTATCCCAATGCAATCAATGACAGTGAAAGAAACGCGAGTACGCTTGATATTACGAGGAATTAACGCGGTTTCCCACGTCATGGGACATGCTAGGTTTGAGAGGCATACTAGCAAAAACAGAAAGCTGACCTGGCAGGAACTGGTTGGATAAGCAGCGCATTGGCTCAGCTGCAGGCAGGCGATCGCGACATGCGATCCTTAGAGATGAGACGGGAGACGAGGGGAAACAAGGACCGTTGCGAGGAGTTGTCAGGATTTAGGAATTTGGAAAACCTGGTCAGCGTGCTTATATCGAAGGCTGATTCCTGGATGACGAGGCTTGAAAACTGTGACAGAGAAGGGTTTCTTCTATCGAGTGTTGCGGAGATCCCACGGTGGCTGCGGTGATAAAATGTGTGGACTCGACCACCAATAGGATGAGCTGATCCAAGTGTTTTTTGGTAACAATTCGCCGAGCTATTTATTCTCCGTCATCATTTCCTATTTTCCATGCGGAAGCGAATGCGAAATTGCTCAGCGAGCGGATCTGCGAAAGCTGGCCGAAATCGTCACAGGCTCTCGTGCGGTTCAAAGAGGTGCCCTGCAAGGCAAAGAGTTTCTCAAAGCATCCAAAACGGTTGGGTGTGATTTTGAGGAATAATTTCGGGGTCCCTTTACCTTATAGGGAAAAATCATCATCCCCAACCCCTCGCTTGATGTCCCACTGTTTGTCATCCGAGCACCTTCCGAACGGCTCGCTCCTCGAATCCATAACATTCACAGCGATCATAGTTGATTTCTGGTAAATCTGGTGATTTTTTCGTGAGCTCGAATCCCGAAAACGTCCATGGCGACTCGTCTTCAGCCTTCGTTTGTCGCCGCCCATATCAAATCTGCCGTCCCTTCTACGGCCCCTCCGCTAGTCTCCGCCTTCCCCGTCACATTTCCGCGCATTCCCCCCGCAAGTGTCGCGCCCAGCACTTCCCCATGCGTTCTCCCCAACGCACCCCTCCGCGGGGCACCTCCCCGCGCGCGGATCCGCTCATCGCCACGAACAGCGCCGGCACGCGCGGCGGCAGGGGGCGACGAGCCGCTCCCAGCGGCTGGCGACCCGTCGTTGGCAGCAGCAGCGTGGGAGGCGCTGGTCGCGGTGCGCGCGAGCCGCCCTCTGGTTCACTGCATCACCAACTTCGTCTCCATGGATGCCGCTGCAAATACCCTTCTCGCAGCAGGCGCCGCGCCCGCCATGGTGCATTCCCTAGAAGAGGTGCGGTTTAGAATAGGTGCGCAGGTGTTGAGTGCGGTTTACCACGCCCCCCTTCCCCCTTCCCCCCTCCTGGTTCACTGCATCACCAACTCCGTATCCATGCGTGCTGCTGCCAACACCCTTCTCGCCGCAGGCGCTGCACCCGCCATGGTGCATTCCCTAGAAGAGGTGCGCTTTTCTTCCTTCTCCCCAATCTCCCCTCCCCCTTTCCCCTCACCCTTTCCCCTCGATCCCCGCAAGGGGAGGATTTTGCCAGGAAACATTCCCACACCCACACCACACCTCCCCCTGTCCATTCCTCCCCCAAACACCCACCACCCCTCCCCTCACCCTCCCCACCACCCTTCCTCTCTCCGTTATCCCGTCCCCCCTTCTCTTTCTTCCCCATTCTCTCCTCAAGCGGGCAGGTGGAGGAATTTGCCAGCCTGGCATCCGCACTCTACATGAACACCGAGGTGCCTTACTCTCAACCAAGCATCCCCCACGCTGTCACCCCTTCTGCTTTTTCCCCATCCACCCCTTCAAGTCAACAGGTGGAGGAGTTTGCCAGCCTGGCATCCGCGCTCTACGTGAACAACGAAGCACTTCCATTTCCCGCCCTCCACTGTATCCATCCTTTCCTTCCCCCTCTCCACATTACCCCCCACAAATTCCCCCTCAAGCCCGCAGGTGGAGGAGTTTGCCAGCCTGGCATCAGCTCTCTACGTGAACATCGGGACGCTGAGCCCTGATTGGGTGGACTCCATGAAACGGGTAGCTAAAGTTATTTCTGCCCGGAACCGGCCGTGGGTCCTGGACCCTGTGGGTTGCGGCGCCACATCATACCGAACCAAGGTAGGCTCGGTCCGAACCCAGGCAGCGATGTTCTCACCTGCCTTTCCTCGCCTGTCTGCTCTCGCCAACTGTTCCTTCTTTCTAGCAATGCTCTCAAGTCACCCAAGTCACCTCCACTCGACCTACATTGCTGTACCCTGGTACCGCTCACCTCTATCACTACCTTTTCCCGTTTTCATTCCTTGCAGACCTCAGCAGAGCTCCTCGCACTCAGACCAACAGTAGTGAGAGGCAATGCATCTGAAGTGCTTGCTCTAGCCGGCGCCGTCAGCGCGAACACCCGGGTAGGCCGACCCAATCAGCTTGTGCATTGGTTTGATGTGTGAATGCCTGAAACAACTCTGCAACCTGCAAGAGCAAGCACTTTAGACGCGTTGCCTCTCAACAGCCCGAATCGCTGAGACCAACGGTGGTGAGAGGCGACACGTCTGAAGTGCTGGCTCTGACTGACAACGGGATGCCTCTCCTGCAAGCCATCACCGCCACAGGCTGCTTCCTTTTCCTCCTTTCCCACCGTGTCCATATTGCTGTTCTTTTCTCTCCTTCCTCTTCCACCCCCCTTCCCCCACCAGGGAGTAGACAGCACGGTAGCTTCAACAGCAGCAGTGGTGGCTGCACAACAGCTGGCAGCAGAATGGGGGACAGTGGTGGCAGTGTCAGGAGCAACAGACTTTATATCACCGATGGTCGCACCGTGCTGGCGTGTGACAGCGGGGCGCCTCTGCTTACATCGCTTCTCTCCTTCCCCCACACCCTTCCCCCACGCCCCTCGCCCCTACAGGGGGTAGACAGCACAGTGGCGTCAACAGCAGCAGTGGAAGCGGCACAACAACTGGCAGCAGAGTGGGGGACAGTGGTGGCAGTGTCGGGAGCAACAGACTTTATCACCGATGGTCGCACCGTGCTGGCGTGTGACAGCGGGGCGCCTCTGCTTACATCGCTTCTCTCCTTCCCCCACACCCTTCCCCCACGCCCCTCGCCCCTACAGGGGGTAGACAGCACAGTGGCGTCAACAGCAGCAGTGGAAGCGGCACAACAACTGGCAGCAGAGTGGGGGACAGTGGTGGCAGTGTCGGGAGCAACAGACTTTATTACCGATGGTCACACCGTGCTGGCGTGTCACAACGGGGTGCCTCTCCTTCAAGCCATCACCGCCACTGGCTGCAGCGTGACTGCTCTCATTGCTGCTTTCGTTGCTGCTGCTGCTGCTGCTGCTGATGATGATGCGGATACTGCTGAGGTGTCACCGCCTCTACTTGCCACGGCCTGTGCTCTCGCTGTTTACGGGTAATTCGCCTTCACTCCTCCTCTCTGCTTTTCTTTGATCGCCCATCTCTGCTCTCGCCGGAGAAGTGAAGCCAACCCTCATTCCATTTCCTCCCCTCCTCGTCCTTCCTCATCCGTGTATTCAGGCTTGCATCTGAAGTGGCATCAGCAGCACCAGGCATCCAAGGCCCTGGGCCTCATAGAATGCTCAGTACTCATTAACAGAGGCGCAGGTCATTCAAGTGATGCTGTATCTCATTCTCTCCTCCCTTCGTCCTTCCTCTTTCGTGTATTCAGGCTCGCATCTGAGGTGGCATCAGCATCGCCAGGCGTCCAAGGCCCTGGGTCCCTGAGGGTGGGACTCATGGATGCTCTCTACTCGTTAACAGAGGAGCAGGTCATTCAAGGAGTGAAGCTAAGTTCTATTTCGGTATAACAGGTTAACTAACATCCTGCTATCGTAACTTAACTGACATGTATTGTCTCTCTAATGTATGGGTAGTTGCATACACGTTATTGCTCCCCCTAAAAGTAACTCCTGCACAACCACGACTGTATGTTGGGACTGCTACACTCCCAGTAAGGAAACGGGATTTTCCTTAACATTCGGGTGCCGCCATAACCAACTAGAGACAAACACCGTTACTACAACAAGCACACAACGCAATCACTTGGGAATAAAGATCAAATCGCCGGGAAAAATAATATCTGGGTCCTCGGCCACCCTCCCCTCATTAGCATCAATAACCGTTTCGGGGTGAAGACAGTAGCGGTCTGCAACGAGCCTTGTTTCGAAATTAGGTAAAACCTACTTCGGAATGAAGATCAAATCGCCGGGAAATATTATATCTGGGTCCTCGGCCACCCTCCCCTCATTAGCATCAATAACCGTGTCGGGGTGAAGACAGTACTTGTCGGCAATTGCACACACGGTGTCACCCGGTCTCACCTGATGAAAGAGACGGGGGGAGAGCAGGGGGGAGAGGCAGAGGGCAGGGGAACATGGGGCACACACATCAATAACCGTGTCGGGGTGAAGGCAGTATTTGTCAGCAATTGCACACACGGTGTCACCCGGTCTCACCTGGGAGACAGAAGGGAGGAGAGGAAGAGAGGGGAGGGTGTTAAGGGATATAAGAGTCTGTTTTGCATCATCCCCTCGTTTGCATCAATAACCGTGTCGGGGTGAAGACAGTATTTGTCAGCAATTGCACACACTGTGTCACCCGGTCTCTCCTTGGGGACAGAAGGGAGGAGACAAGGGAGGAGACAAGAAGAGAGGAGACAAGAAGGGAGGAGGGCAGACACGTGAGGCAGAGATTCTCTGATGATCATTTTCGCGATGACTAGAAGATGAGACTAGAGTTTGACTCTCCGAGTTTGAGTTGACTCAAAAGGCAGAGAGCAATTACCGTACATTGAATTTTGGAGGAAGCTGCCCTGATTCGAAATTTCCAGGAAGATCACATTTGGATCTCAGGAGATCTACCGTACATTCAAAACTTCGGAGATCTCCTGAGAAGATCACATTTGGATCTTGGTGTGTTTTGAGTTGATTCAAAACACACCTGGTATAGGAGGAGGCTGCTCCCGTCATTCCTTGGGGGGAACTACAAGGAGATCTCCTGGAAAGATCACGTCTGGATCTTCCACGAGGCCCTCTTGATTTGCCTCTTTCATTGCGTCCACTCTCACGCAGTAGCGATCGGCTATGCCACACATGGTGTCTCCTGATTCCACCTGGGGATGGGACGTGGATGGGGAGAGATAGGGGAAGGGGAGGAGGGCAGGGAGGGCAGGGAGGGCAGGGAGGGGGTAGGGAGGGCAGGGATCACGTGAGTGAGGGTCATCCACGAGCCCCTCCTGGTTCGCCTCTTTCATTGCGTCCACTCGCACACAGTAGCGATTGGCTATAGCGCACATGGTGTCGCCTGCTTCCACCTGGGGTGAGAGGTGGGGGATGGGGAGGGGGATATGGGATCACGTGAGGGTCTTTTATCGAGCCCCTCTTGGTTCGCCTCTTTCATTGCGTCGACTCGCACACAGTAGCGATCGGCTATAGCACACATGGTGTCACCTGCTTCTACCTGTAGGGGAGGGATAGGGGAACGGAAGGAGGGCAAGCAGGGCAGGAATGGCAGGGAGGGCAGGGACGGCAGGGATCACGTCTGGTTCTTCCACGAGGCCCTCCTGGTTCGCCTCTTTTCCACTCGCACACAGTAGCGATCGGCTATGCCACACATGGTGTCGCCTGCTTCCACCTGGGGAGAGGTGAAGGCAGGGAAGGGCACGGAGGACAGGGACAGCAGGGATCACGCCTGGATTTTCCACCAGGCCCTCCTGGTTCGCCTCTATCATTGCATCCACTCGCACACAGTAGCGATCGGCTATGCCACACATGGTCTCACCTGTTTACACCTGGGGGTAGAGCAGAAAGAAACAGCCCTCCTGCAATAACAACCACTGCCTACCCCGCTCGCCCTGTCTGGCCAACCAGCCCTCCCCACCCCTCCCCCAAACCGCACAGAATCCATCCCAAACGCACAGAACGCCACGCACCTCATGATACACTGGTTTCGTCAGCCTTCTGCTCTTCCTGCGCGCATTGCCAATGGTAGCCCCGATTGCCAACAGAAACAGCCCCCCTGCAATAGCAACCACTGCTCGCCCTGCCCCCCCAAACAACCCTCCCCTGCCTCGTCTCCCCCGTCGTCCCTGCTTTTTTCCACTTGCTTCTTTTGCTTTCGCCGCCTCAGCTTCTGCTGTTGCTGCCACTTCTGCCGCCGCTGTTGCCTCTCCTGCTGCTTCTGCTGCCTCAGCTTCTGCTGCTGCCTCTGCAGTTGCTGCTGCCGCTGCTGCCAAGGCTGCTGCCTGTGCGGCAGCCGCAGCCTCCCCTGCTGCTGCTGCCTCTGATGCTGCTGCTGCCTCTACTGCCGCTGCTGCCCCTGCTGCTGCGGAAGCTTCTCTTTCAGCTGCTTCAGCCACCGCTGCTGCTGCTGAAGCCTCTTCATCTGCTGCTGCTTCCACTGCTGCGGCTGCCTCTGCTTCTGCTGCAGCTTCGGCTGCTGCAGCTGTCACTCCCTCTGCTGCTGCCTCTGCTGCCGCTGCTGTTTCGTTAGCTGCTGCTGCTGCCTCCTCTGCTGCTGCTGCAGCCTCTGCTGCAGTTGATGCTGCTGTTGCTGCCACATTCTCTCGAGTTGCTGCTGCTTCTGCCACTGCAGCTGCCTTTGCTGCTGCTGCTGCCTCTCCCGCTGCTGCTGCCTCTAATGCTGCTGCTTCAGCTTCTTCTCTAGTTGCTACCTCTGTTGCTGCTGCTGCTGCCTCTGCCGCTGCTGCTGCCGCCACTACTGCTGCTGCAGCTGCAGCATCAGCACCACCAGACTTAGCACTGGAGAGGCCACTAGAAAGAGTTAAATGCTCAGTCTTAGACTCAGCAACCGCATCGGAAGCAAAGCTAAGCCCCTCTGTTCTATATCCGGTCTTACCTTCAGCAACAGCACCAGAGGCAACGGTAAGCCCTTCACTTCTATATTCAGCCTTAGCTTCAGCACCAGCGCCAGAAGCAACAGTAATCCCTTCAGCATCAGTACTTGAAGCTATGCGAAGCCCTTCAGTTCCACACACAGCCTTAGCTTCAGCACCAGCAAGAGAAGTAACAATAATCCCTTCAGCACCAGCAACAGAAGTAACAGTAATCCCTTCCGCACCAGCACCAGAAGCTGTGCTAAGCCCTTCAGTTCCATACACAGTCTTAGCTTCAGCACCAGCAGCAGATGCGACACTAAGCCCTTCGATTCCGTGTTCTGTCCTAGCTGCGGCAACAGCACCAGAAGCAACACTAATCCCTTCAGCACCAGAAGCAACACTAATCCCCTCAGCACCAGAAGCAACACTAATCCCTTCAGCACCAGAAGACGCGCTGAGCCCTCCTGCTCCCTTTCGCTCCTCCCCTTCCCCCCCCTCAGCCCGTTCCCCTCCTCCTGCACCTTCCCTCCCCTCTGATGCTTCCCCTCCCCCTGCCTCTTCCCCTCCCCCTGCCCTTTCCCTTCCCTCAGTCGTTTCCACGCCCCCTGCCGCTTCCCCTCCGTCTGCCTCTTTCCCTTCCCCTGCTGCTTCCTCTCCCCCTTGGCCTCCCCCCAGTTTCAATCCCGAGCTAGTCGTGATCTCCTCAGGTCGATCTGACTTTTGAGGCGCCTCAAAAGTTGATTCCCCTCCGTCTGCCTCTTTCCCTTCCCCTGCCGCTTCCTCTCCCCCTTGGCCTCCCCCAAGCTCCAACCCCAAGCTAGTCATGATCAAGTTTTGAGACGTCTCAAAATTCCCTTCCCCTGCCGCTTCCTCTCCCCGGCCTCCCCCCAGTTCCAACCCCACGCTACTCGTGATCTCCTCAGGCCGATCCGGCTCTATCACAGGGGACAAGACCGGCCGGCCAATATCAAACAAAAAGCTAAGCCTCCTCCTCTGGGCGGCAGGAGTGGCAGGTGCAGACATAGGGCTAGGTATACTACTGGGACTCTCAGGCTCCTGCTCCTGTCCCTGCCCCTGCCCCTGCCCCTGCCCCTTCCCCTTCCCCTTTCCCTGTTTCTGCCCACTGCTGAATCCAAACAACCCACTTCCTCCTCCTGTGCTGGCTCCTGGGCTGGTCAACGCTGCTGCCCCGCTTTTTCCTCGCTTGCTCAGAAGGTCAGTCGAACCGAGCTTGAGGGAAATGGACGAGCGAACCCTTTTCTGTGCAGCTGTCAGTGCGCCTCCTGCACTGCTGCTGCTGCTGCTGGTGATGCTGGTGCCAGTGCTGCTGGCAACGCTGGTGGCGCTGGTGCTGATTATGCTAGTGGTGGTGGTGCTGCTGGTGCTGCTGCTCCTGTCCTCACCGATAGGGATGCTGCCACTGCTGCTGCTTTTGCTGCTGGTGATGCTGCTGCCCTTGCCGCTCGCTCCCTCACTCGCCCGGCGGCGCGACGGGGTGAGCGAAATCGACCGGAACATGGAAGACACGGTTGAAGCCATTGACTTGCTTGACTTCTCCGCCCCTGCCCCTGCCCCTCCTGCCCCTCTCGCTCCTGCCCCTGCTACTGACCCCTTACCTCTGGATTTACCAAAGGCACTACCTGGAGACCCTTGGCTCCACGGGGATCCCTCAGAATCTCCCCCACCAGGCGATTCTCCCTCACCCACGGGCTCTCCTGTAAGACTGAGCGGGCCAGATTTTGACATGCTGCTTGCTGCTCTGCTGCTTGTGGCACTCAGTGCTGTTCCGCTCCAACTCTTGGGAATGCCCAGCTTATCCAGAGGGCCCGATTTCGACCGAGCATCAAAATGGGGAACGTCTGAAAGGGCTGGTGATGCGGCTTCTGAGCCAGACTTTGAGGTGGTGCTTGTTTCTTCTGCTGAAGTTTCCGTAATGATGATGCTATCAGTCTCAGCACCAGCATAAGTGTTTTCAGCAGCAGCGACAGCAGCAGTAGCAGTAGTAGAAGCAGCAGCAGCAGCAGCGGCAGCGGCGGCAGCGGCGGCGGCGGTGGCATTGAAACTACCACCAGCATCAGCGGCGCTTTCAGCAGTAGGAGCGGTTTCTGCTGCTGCTGCCTTTGCTGCTCCAAACATCGAAGCGGTTTTGACTGCTAAAGTTTCTGCAGTGGTTATGGTGCCAGCAGTGGCAACACCAGAAGTGGCATTGGCAGTCAAACTACCACAAGCAGTGGTGTTTTCAGCAGTAGCAGCGGTTGTGGTGATGATGGTGCTAGCAGTGGCAGCATCAGTGGCAGCACCAGCGGTGGCAGTGGAACTAGCAACACCAGCAGTGGTGCTTTCAACAGTGGCAGCGATTCCCACTGCTGAAGTTTGTATGATGATGCCAGTGCTAGCAGCGGCAGCACCAGAAGTGGCATTGACACTGGAACTATCACCACCAGCAGTGGTGTTTTCAGCAGTAGCAGCGGTTTCAGCTGCTGCTGCTGCCTTCGCTGCTGCTGCAGCCGCCTCTGCTGCCGCTGCTGCCTCTGCCACTGCTGCCTCTGCCGCTGCTGCGATAGCCTGTGCTGCTGATGCAGCCTCTGCTCCGGGTTTGACTGCTGAAGCTTTCAAGGTGATGATGGCACTTGCAGAGGCAGCACCGGAAGTGGCATTGACACTGGAACTATCACCACTGGCAGTGGTGTTTTCAGCTGTAGCAGCGGTTTTTGCAGCTGCTGCTGCTGCTGCTGCTGCATTCGCTGCTGCTACAGCCTCTGCTGCTGCAGCCGCCTCTGCTGCTGCTTCTGCCTCTGCCGCTGCTGCGATAGCCTGTGTTGCTGATGCAGCCTCTGCTCCGGTGTTGACTGCTGAGGCAGCAGCTGCTACCTTAGCTGCTCCAAACATCGAAGTGGTTTCGACTGCTGAGGTTTTCGTGGTGATGATGGTACTTGCAGAGGCAGCATTGGAAGTGTTACTGGCGGTGCTTTTAGCAGTGGCAGCGGTTTCTGCTGTTGAAGATTTTGTGGTGATGATGGTGCTAGCAGTGCCAGCATCAGTGGCAGCATCAGTGGCAGCACCAGCAGTGGCAGTGGAAATAGCAACACCGGTAGTGGTGCTAGTGCTGCTGCTGCTGCTAGCGTCCTCACCAATAGGGTTGCTGCCGCTGCTGCCGCTATTGCTGCCGCTATTGCTGCTGCTCTTGCCGCTCGCTCCCACACTCGCCCGGCGGCGCGACGGGTTCAGAGACATCGACCGGAACATGGAAGACACGGTTGAAGCCATTGACTTGCTTGACCTCTCCGCCCCTGCCCCTGCTCCTGCCCCTGGACCCGCCCCTGCACCCACCCCTGCCCCCGCACCCGCCCCTGCCCCTGCCCCTGCTCTTGTCCCTGCTCCTGCCCCTGACCCTGCCCCTGGGGTCAACCTAGCACCCATCGCAGCACTCAACACTACACCCACAGGTGACACTCCCACACCCATAGGCTCTCCTGTAAGGCTAAGCGGGCCGGATTTCGAAATACTGCTTGCTGCGCTGCTGCCTGTGGCGTCCCCAGCACTCGACCCAGCACCCATTGCAGCACTCAACGGTACAACCACAGGTGACACTCCCACACCCACAGGTGACACTCCCACACCCACAGGTGACACTCCCACACCCACAGGTGACACTCCCACACCCACAGGTGACACTCCCACACCCACAGGTGACCCTCCCACACCCACCGGCTCCCCTGTAAGGCTGAGCGGGCCAGATTCAGACATGCTGCTGGCAGCTGTGCTGCCTGTGGCGTCCCCGGCACTCGACCCAGCACTGAATCCAGCACCCATTGCAGCACTCAATGGGGTTCCGATCAAACTTTTGGGAATGCCCAACTTGTTCAGAGGGCCGGATTTCGCCTGAGCATTCAGTTCAGACACGTCTGAGAGAGCTCGTGATGCGGCTTCTGAACCAAGTTTCAGAGTGGTGTTGGTTTCTTCTGCTAAAGTTTCTGTGATGGTGATGCTTTCTGTGTCAGCACCAGCAGAAGTGGTGTCTTCAGCAGCAGCAGCAGCAGCAGCAGCAGCAGCAGCAGCAGCAGCAGCAGCAGCAGCAGCAGCAGCAGCACAGCAGCAGCAGAAGCAGCAGCAGCAGCGGCGGCGGCGGCGGCGGCAGCACCACCAGCAGTGGTATTTCCAGCAGTAGGAGCGGTTGCTGCTGCAGCAGTCTTAGCTGCTCCAAATATCGAGGTGGTTTTGACTGCTGAAGTCTCTGCGGTGATGATGCTGCTAGCAGTAGCAGTAGCAGTCTCTGAAGTAACATTGGCATTCAAACTACCACCAGCAGCAGGGGCGCTTTCAGCTGCTGCTGCAGCAGCAGCAGCAGCAGCCGCAGCAGCAGTAGCAGCAGCAGCAGAGACGGCAGCAGCAGCATCGGAACTACCACCAGCAGCAGGGGCGCTTTCAGCAGTAGCAGCGGTTTCTGCCGAAGCTGCCTTCACTGCTGCAAATATCGAGGTGGTTTTGACTGCTGAAGTCTCTGCGGTGATGATGCTACTAGCACTAGCAGTAGCAACACCAGAAGTGGCATTTGCATTCAAACTACCACCAGCAGCAGGGGCGCTTTCAGCAGTAGGAGCGGTTTCTGCTGAAGCTGCCTTCACTGCTCCAAATATCGAGGTGGTTTCGACTGCTACAGTCTCTGCAGTGATGATGCTGCTGCTGCCAGTGGCGCTCTCAGCACTCAACCCAGCACCCATCGCAGCACTCAGCGCTACAGGTGGCCCTCCCACACCCACAAGCTCCCCTGTAATGCTGATAGGCCCGGCTTCAGACATGCTGCTTGCTGCTCTGCTGACTGTGGCGCTCTCAGCACTCAACCCAGCACCCATCGCAGCACTCAAAGCTACAGTCTCTGCGGTGATGATGCTGCTAGCACTAGCAGTAGCAACACCAGAAGTGGCATTGGCATTCAAACTATCACCAGCAGTGGTATTTTCAGCAGTATCAGCAGTGTCTGCTGCTGAAGATTTTGTGGCGATGATGGTGCTAGCAGCGGTGGCAGCATCAGTGGCAGCATGAGTGGCAGTGGAACTAGCACCACCAGCAGCGGTGCTTTCAACTGTAGCAGCAATTCTTACTGCTGAAGTTTCTATTGCAATGATGGTGCTTATAGTGCCAGCATCAGTGGCAGCATCAGCGGCAGCATCAGTGGCAGCATCAGTGGCAGCATCAGTGGCAGCATCAGTGGCAGTGGAACTAACACCACCAGCAGTGTTGCTTTCAACAGCAGCAGCGATTCCTACTGCTGCTTCTCCTGCTCCTCCTCCACCCAAACCTGGGCTGGTTAGCGCTGCCTCGCTTTCCCCGCGCCTGCTCAGCAGGTCAGTCGAACCGAGCTCGAGGGAAATGGACGAATGAACCCTCTTCTGGTCTGCTGTCAGTGCGCCTCCTGAACTGCCACCGCCTACGCTGCTGCTGCTGATGCTGCTGCTGCTGCTGGTAACGCTGCTGGTGCTGGTGCTGGTGATGCTAGTGGTGGTGGTGCTGCTGGTGATGCTGCTCGTGTCCTCACCAATAGGGATGCTGCCGCTGCTGCTGCTTTTGCTGCTGGGAATGCTGCTGCCCTTGCCGCTCGCTCCCTCACTCGCCCGGCGGCGCGACGGGGTGAGCGAAATCGACCGGAACATGGAAGACACGGTTGAAGCCATTGACTTGCTTGACTTCTCCGCCCCTGCCCCTGCCCCTGCCCCTGCCCCTGCACCCGCCACTACACCCGGCCCTGCACCCGCCCCTGCCCCTGCCCCTGCCCCTGCCCCTGCATTTGTCCCTGCTCCTGCCCCTGACCCTGCCCCTGAGGTCAACCCAGCACCCATCGAGGAACTCAACGCTACACCCACAGGTGACCCTCCCACACCCATAGGCTCCCCTGTAAGGCTAAGTGGGCCGGATTTCGAAATGCTGCTTGCTGCTCTGCTGCCTGTGGCGTCCCTAGCGCTGGACCCTGCGGTCAACCCAGCACCCATCGTGGCAGCACCCAACGCTACACCCACAGGTGACACTCCCACGGGCTCCCCTGGAATGCTGAGAGGGCCAGATTCAGTCATGCTGCTTGCTGCGCTGCTGCCTGTGTCGCCCCCAGCACTCGACCCAGCAGCCAACCCAGCACCCATCGCAGCACTCAACGCTACACCCACTGGTGACACTCCCACACCCACTGGTGGCCCTCCCACTCGCACAGGCTCCCCTGTAAGGCTGATAGGCCCAGAATTAGACATGCTACTTGCTTCTCTGCTGCCTGTGGAGGCCCCAGCACTCGACCCAGCAGCCAACCCAGCACCCATCGAGGAACTCAACGCTACACCCACCGGTGACACTCCCACACCCATAGGCTCCCCTGTAAAGCTGAGCGGGGCGGATTCAGACATGCTACTTGCTGCTCTGCTGCCTGTGGCGTCCCCAGCACTGGACCCAGCTGCCAACCCAACACCCACTGCAGCACTCAATGGGGTTCCGCTCATTCTCTCGAAAATGCCCAACTTGTCCAGAGGGCCGGATTTCGCCCGAGCATTGACTTCAGACACGTCTGAAAGGGCTCGTGATGCGGCTTCTGAACCACGTTTCAGAGTGGTGTCGGTTTCTTCTGCTAAAGTTTCTGTGATGGTGATGCTTTCCGTCTCAGCACCAGCAGACGTGGTGTTTCCAGCAGCAGCAGCAGCAACAGTAGCAGCAGAAGCAGCAGCAGCAGCAGCGGCAGCGGCAGCGGCAGCATCGGAACTACCACCAGCAGCAGTGGCGCTTTCAGCAGTAGCAGCGGTTTCTGCTGAAGCTACCTTCACCGCTCCAAATATCGAGGTGGTTTTGACTGCTGAAGTCTCTGCGGTGATGCTGCTCCTAGCACTAGCAGCAGCAACACCAGAAGTGGCATTGGCATTCAAACTACCACCAGCAGCAGGGGCGCTTTCAGCAGTAGCAGCAGCAGCAGCAGCAGCAGCCACCGCAGCAGCAGTAGCAGCAGCAGCAGTAGCAGCAGCAGCAGCAGCGGCGGCAGCAGCAGCATCGGAACTACCACCAGCAGCAGTGGCGCTTTCAGCAGTAGGAGCGGTTTCTGCTGAAGCTGCCTTCACTGCTCCAAATATCGAGGTGGTTTTGACTGCTGAAGTCTCTGAGGTGACGATGCTGCTGCCAGTGGCGCCCTCAGCACTCAACCCAGCACCCATCGCAGCACTCAGCGCTACAGTCTCTGCGGTGACGATGCTGCTAGCACTAGCAGTAGCAACACCAGAAGTGGCATTGGCATTCAAACTACCACCAGCAGTGGTATTTTCAGCAGTTGCATGTTCAGCAGTATCAGCGGTGTCTGCTGCTGAAGATCTTGTGGCGATGATGGTGCTAGCAGTCCCGGCATCAGTGGTGGCAGCACCACGAAACATAGAAGACATGGACCGGAACACAGAAGACACGGTTGAAGCCATTGACTTGCTTGACTTCTCCGCTCCTGCCCCTGCCCCCGCCCCTGCCCCTGCCCCTGCCCCTGCCCCTGCCCCTTCCCATGCCCCTGCCGCTGCCCCTGCCCCTGCCCCTGCCCCTGCCCCTGCCCCTGCCCCTGCCCCTGCCCCTGCCCCTGCCCCTGCCCCTGCCCCTGCCCCTGCCCCTGCCCTTACCCCTGCCCCTGCCCCAGCCTCTGCCCCTGCCCCTGCCCCTGCCCCTGCCCCTGCCTTTGTCCCTGCTCCCGCCCCTGCCCCTGCCCCTGCGGTCAATCCAGCACCCATCGCAGCACTCAACGCTACACCCACAGGTGACCCTCCCACACCCACGGGCTCCCCTGTAAGGCTGAGCGGGCCAGATTTCGACGTGCTGCTTGCTGCTCTGCTTCCTGTGGCGTCCCCAGCACTGGACCCAGCGGTCAACCCAGCACCCATCGCAGCACTCGACACTACACCCACAGGTGGGCCTCCCACACCCACGGGCTCCCCTGAAAGGCTTAGAGGCACGGTTTTAGACATGCTGCTTGCATCTCTGCTTCCTGTGGCGCCCCCAGCACTGGACCCAGCGGTCAACCCAGCACCCATTACAGCAGTCAATTTGGTTTCGCTCCCACTCTTGGGAATGCCGAACTTCTCCAGAGGGCCAGATTTCGTCCGAGAAGTGACTTCAGACACGCCTGAGAGAGCTCGTGTTGCTGAAGTTTCTGAACCGAGTTTCAGAGTGGTGTTGGTTTCTTGTGCTAACGTTTCTGTGATGGTGATGCTTTCCGTCTCAGCACCAGCACAAGTGGTGTTTTCAGCAGCAACAGTAGCAGCAGAAGCAGCAGCAGCGGCGGCGGCGGCGGCGGCGGCAGCGGCATCATCGGAACTACCACCAGCAGCACCCGTGGCGCTTTCAGCAGTAGGAGCGGTTCTTGCTGCTGCTGTCTCAGCTGCTCCAAGTATCGAGGTGGTTTCGACTGCTACAGTCTCTGCGGTGATGATGCTGCTAGCACTAGCAGTAGCAGTCTCTGGTGTGGCATTGGCATTCAAACTACCACCAGCAGTGGTATTTTCAGCAGTAGGAGCGGTTGCTGCTGCTGCTGCCTTAGCTGCTCCAAACATCGAGGTGGTTTTGACTGCTGAAGTCTCTGCGGTGATGCTGCTGCTGCCAGTGGCGCCCTCAGCACTCAACCCAGCACCCATCGCAGCACTCAACGCTACAGTCTGTGCGGTGACGATGCTGCTAGCACTAGCAGTAGCAACACCAGAAGTGGCACTGGCATTCAAACTACCACCAGCAGTGGTATTTTCGGCAGTATCAGCGGTGTCTGCTGCTGAAGGTTTTGTGGCGATGATGGTGCTGTTGCTGCTGGTGATGCTGCTGCTCTTGCCGCTCGCTCCCACACTAGCCCGGTGGCGTGACGAAGTGAGAGACATGGACCGGAACATGGAAGACACGGTTGAAGCCATTGACTTGCTTGACTTCTCCGCCCCTGCCCCTGCACCCGCCCCTGCCCCCGCCCCTGCCCCTGCCCCTGCCCCCGCCCCTGCCCCTGCCCCTGCCCCTGCCCCTGCCCCTGCCCCTGCCCCTGCCCCTGCCCCTGCCTTTGTCCCTGCTCCTGCCCCTGACCCTGGCCCAGCGGTCAACCCAGCACCCATCGCAGCACTCAACGCTACACCCACAGGCTCTCCTGTGAGGCCGAGAGGGCCAGATTTAGACACGCTGCTTGCTGCTCTGCTGCCTGTGGCGCCCCCAGCACTCGACCCAGCACCCATCGAGGAACTCAACACTACATCCACAGGTGACACTCCCACAACCACCGGCTCCCGTGTAAGGCTGAGCGGGCCGGGTTTCAACATGCTGCTTGCTGCGCTGCTGCCTGTGGCGTCCCCAGCACTCGGCCCAGCAGTCAACCCAGCACCCATCGCAGCACTCAATGGTACAACCACAGGCGACACTCCCACACCCACGGGCTCCCCTGTAAGGCTGAGCGGGCCAGGTTTCGACCTGCTGCTTGCTGCGCTGCTGCCTGTGTCGCCCCCAGCACTCGACCCAGCAGCCAACCCAGCACCCATCGCAGCACTCAACGCTACACCCACTGGTGACACTCCCACCCCCACTGGTGGCCCTCCCACTCGCACAGGCTCCCCTGTAAGGCTGATAGGCCCAGAATTAGACATGCTACTTGCTTCTCTGCTGCCTGTGGAGGCCCCAGCACTCGACCCAGCAGCCGACCCAGCAGCCAACCCAGCACCCATCGAAGAACTCAACGCTACACCCACAGGTGACACTCCCACACCCATAGGCTCCCCTGTAAAGCTGAGCGGGGCGGATTCAGACATGCTACTTGCTGCTCTGCTGCCTGTGGCGTCCCCAGCACTGGACCCAGCTGCCAACCCAACACCCACTGCAGCACTCAATGGGGTTCCGCTCATACTCTCGAAAATGCCCAACTTGTCCAGAGGGCCGGATTTCGCCCGAGCATTAAGCTCAGACACGTCTGATATAGCTGGCGATGCGGATTCTGAGCCAAATTTCGAAGTGGTTTCTACTGCTGAAGTTTCTATGGTGGTGATGCTACCAGTGCCAGCAGCAGTGGTGTTTTCAGTGGCAGCAGTGGTGTTGGTTTCTGCTGCTGAAGTTTTCATGATGACAAAGCGATCAGTTTCAGCACCAGCAAAAGTGGTGCTTCCAGCAGCAGTAGCAGCAGAAGCAGCAGCATCGAAACTGCCACCAACAGAAGCGGCGCTCTCAGCAGGGGCGGCAGTTTCTGTTGCTCCCGCCTTTGCTGCTACTGCTAAAGTGGTAGCAGTGGTGATGATGGTGCTAGCAGTGGTAGCATCAGTGGCAACACCAGCAGTGGCAAAGGAACTATCACCATCAGCACTGGTGCTTTCAGCGGTTGCAGCGGTTTTTGCTGCTAAAGCTACCGTGGTGACGATGGTGTTAGCAGTGGCAGCAGTGGCACTGGAACTATCAACACCAGCACTGGTGCTTTCAGCGGTTGTATCGGTTTCTGCTGCTGCTGCCTTTGCTGCTGCTACAGCCTCTGCTGCTGCAGCCGCCTCTGCTGCTGCTGCTGCCTCTGCAGCTGCTGCTATAGCCCGTGCTGCTGATGCAGCCTCTGCTGCTGCCGCAGCCTCTGCTGCTGCAACAGCTGCAGCAGCAGCCTTTGCGGCTGCTGCTGCCTTTGCTTCTGCTGCTGCTGCGGCTTCTGTTGCTCCTGCAGCTTCTGCTAATACTGATGCTGCCTCTGCCTCTGCAGCCTCTGCTTTAGTTGCAGTAACTGCTGCGGCCTCTGCTGCTGCAGCAACAGCAGCCTCAGTTGTTGCTGCTGCCTCTGCTTCAGCTGCAGCTTCCGCTGCTCTTGCAGCCTCTGCTGCTGCTGCTGCCGCTGCTGCCGCTGCTGCCTCTGCTTCTGCTGCAGCATCTGCAGCTGCTGCCACTGCCATTGCTGCCGCAGCTTCTGCTGCTGCTGTAGCAGCAGCCTCTGCTGTTGCTGCTGCCTCTGCTTCAGCTGCAGCTTCTGCTGCTCTTGCAGCCTCTGCTGCCGTTGCCACTGCCCCTGATTGTGCTGCAGCTTTTGCCATTTTTGCTGCTGCAGCGTGTGCTGCTGCAGCAATTTCGCCTGTTCTTGAAGACTCTGCCGCTGCTGCCCCTGCTTCTGCTGCAGCGTCTGCTTCTGCTGCTGACTTTGCAGCTGCTGCTGCTTCTGCTTCTGCTGCTGCGGCAGCTTCTGAATGTGCTGCAGCCTCTGCTGCAGCTGTTGCTGCTTCCCCTGCTTTTGTTGTTGCCTTCGCTTCTGCTGCTACTGCTACATCTGCCGCTGCAGCTGCCACTACCTTCTCTGCCTCTGCCGCCGCTGCTGCTGCAGCCACTGCTACCTCTGCTGCTGCTGCTGTCTCTGCATCTGCTGCTGCTGCAGCCTCTGCTGCCCCTGCCGCTGCCTCTGATTCTTCTGCCTCTTTGTTAGCTGCAGCCTCTGCTGCTGCTGCAGTTGCCAGTGCCGCCCCCGCTGCTTCTACTGCTGCTTCTGAGGCCTCTGCTGCCACTGCAGTTTCCTTTGCTTCTTCAGCTGCTGCAACTTCTGCTGTTTCCGCATCCTCTGCTGTGGCTACTGCCTCTGCTGCCACTGTCCATGCCGCTGACTCTGCCTCTGCTGCATTTTCTGATGCCTTTGCTGCCGCCGCTGCCTCTGTTAATGCTGCTGCTGCAGCCCGTGCTGCTGCTGCAGCCTGTGCTGCTGCTGCTGCCTCTACTGTTGCAGCAGTTTCTGCTGCTGCTGCCTCTGCTTCTGCTGCTGCCTCTGCTGCTGCTGTTGCAGCAGCTTCTGATGCCACAGCCGCCTCTGCTTCTGCTGCTGCAGCAGCCTCTGCTTTTCTTGCTGCTTCATCTGCTGCCGCCGCTGCCGCCGATTCAGCTGCTGCCTCCGCCGCTGCTGCTGCCTCAGCTTCTGCTGCCGCCTCTGCCACTGCTGCTGCCTGTGCTGCTGCAGCCGCTGCTGCTGCAGCCTTTGTTGTTGCTGCTGCTGCCTCTGCCTCTGCTGCCTCTGCTGCTGCTGCTGCTGCTGCTGTGGCTGCAACTCGTTCTTCTGATGCTGCCTCCGCTTCTGCTGCAGCCTCTGCTGCCACTGAAGCTGCTGCTGCCTCTGCTGCTGCCACTGCTTCTGCTGCCTCTGCCGCTGCTGCCGCCTCTGTTCTGGCAGATTCTGATTTTGCTGCAGCCTCTGAGGCTACTGCTTCATCAGCTTCTGCTGCTTCCTTCGCTGCTGCTACAGCCTCTGCTGCTACTTCTGCCTCTGCTGCCTCTGCTGCTGCTGCTGCTGCTGCCGCTGCTGCAGCCTCAGCTGCCGCTACAGCCTGTGCCGCTGCTGCTGCTTCCGCGGCTGCTGCTGCCTCAGCTACTGCAGCAGCTTCTACTGCCTCCTCCGCTGCTGCTGCCTCTGCTTCTGCAGCTTCTGATTTTGCTGCAGCCTCTATCTTTACTGCTGCCTCTGCTGCTGCTGCAGCCTCTGCTACAGCAGCAACCTGTGCTGCAACTGCTGCTGCCTCGGCTGCTGTTGTTTCCTCTGTCACTGCTGCTACGTCTGCTTCTGCAGCTAATGATCTCGCTGCTTCCTCTGCTGCTCCTGCTTCCTCAGCTGCTGCTTCTGCCTTTGCCGCTGCCACAGCCACTGTTGTTGCTTCTGCCTGTATTGCTGCTACCGCCTCGGTTGCTGCTGTCACCTCTTCTGCCGCTGCCTCTGCCGCTGCTGCTGCCACTACTGCTGCAGCTTCTGCTTCTGCTGCTGCCTCTGCTTTTGCTGCAGCCTCTGCTGCGGCTGCCTCCTCTGCTTTAGCCGCTGCCTCAGCTGCTGCTGCTGCCTCTGCCAATGCTGCTGCCTCTGCTGCTCCTCCCCCCAGATCCAGCCCTGAGCTAGTCGAACTCTCCTCCGGACCGTTTGGCTCCATCACAGGGGACAAATAGAAGCTGATTTTTTTCCGCTGCACTGGCTGCTTTGCTGGTTCACTGCTGCTCTGCCCTTCTGTTTGAGCGACCCCCTTCCTTCTTCCCCCTCCTGCGTCCCTGGCATACCCCCCTTTCACATTCATAACATCTCTTCGTTGCAACGCCGTCGCTCTGAACTCCCCAATACCTCCTCCAACTCCCCCGCTGAGCCTCGTCACCACTGCCCGGCTGCTCCCCGCTTGCCTGAGCAAATCCTTCTGCACCATTTTGATCGACATAACCTTACGCATCTCCTTCGGTGGTAACCAGTCATCACTCCCAAAGCTGCTGCTCCCACCGCTACTAAAGCCGCTGATGCTACTGCCCTCATCCCCACCACCAAGACTCCTGCTGCTAGCACTCCCACTCGAACCGATCCCAGTAAGGCCCAAGCTACCCAGAAAGTCCACACTGCCTCCCCTGCTGCGCCGCTTCGGACTCACAGCCTCTTCGGCCCGCCTGGCAGAGCTATTCAGCGCCCTGCCTTGGAACAAAGACGCCACAGAGGTCCCCATTGACTTGTCAGAGCTGCTGCCCTTGTTTTGCCGGTCCCCCCACGGCCAAGCTCCCGACCAGGAGGATTGCTGCTGGCGTTGGGATGATTCCGGTGACTCTGTCCCTGCTGCTGACGCACCTGCTACTGCACCTGAGGAATCACCTGAGGATTCACCTGTGCCTTCCGCAGAGCTCTGCGCCGCGGCTCTCCCACTCTGGATGTTGCTGCGCCTCTCCAGCCGCCCCACCACGGCCATACCACCCTCGCTGGACACTGCTAGGGACGAACTCTCACTACGAGGCGAGTTGGGATCAGACGCAGAAGCTGCATCCTCAGCCTCGTCTGTGCTGCTCTCAGGCCCGGATTCAGACGTGCCCAGCCGGGTCCCTCTGCTGATCTGGACGTTGCTGCGCCTCTCCAGGCGGCCCAGTAAAGACGGACCCGTGCCTGTGCCTGTAGCAGCAGCTGCTGGTGCTGCTGCATCCTCTGGGGAGTCCGCTGGTACATCTGCTGGTGTGTCTGCTGCTGCTGGCGTGTCAGCTGCTGCTTCTGGCAACGCGTCTGCTGCTGCTGTTGCAGCTGCTGTTGAAGTTTCTAGTGCTGCTGCTGGTGATGCAGCAGATGGTGCTGCTGCTGCTGCTGCTGCTGCTGCTGCTGCTGGGGTTTGGAATTCAGGAGCAGGCTCAGAGGAGGTTCCTGCTTCTCCTGCTGCTGCAGCAGCACCAGCACTGTCAGCAACAGCCGTGGTAACCGCAGCTGCATCATCATCACCATCATCTGAAGCAGCAGAGGAGGAATGAGCTGCAAAGGCATCGAAAGCAGCTGCAAAGGCCGAGGGAGCAGCAGCGGCGGCAGCAGCAGTACCAGTGCCACCAGAGGCACCACTGGCTTGGGTTGCTTGGTTGGTTTGGGTGGTTTGAATGGTTTGCGTGGTTTGGGTGGTTTGGGTGGTTTGAGCAACGGTTGCTGCTTCAGAATGGTGGCTGTTCACCTGACTGGCGACAGCGCTGCTTGTGGTGGCCTGCTCGCTTGAGGGTTGGCTCGGGTTGGTACCACCTGCCAAGGGTAATCGGGAGTAGGGAGTTCTTGGGGTATTTGTTACGGTAAGAAAGTGTTAGGGGGGTGTTTGGGAGTGTTATTGAGTGTTAGTGGGAGTTTGGGTGGTTTGAGCAACGGTTGCTGCCTCAGAATGGTGGCTGTTCATCTGACTGGTGACATCGGTGCTTGTGGTGGCCTGCCCGCTCCGGGTTTGGCTGGGAGAGGTGCCACCTGCCAGGGATAATGGGGATAATCAGGTGTGCAGCATGCATGGAAGAATAACAGTAGCCTCCGTGGCCTAACGCACCTGGACGCAAGGCAGCAGGCTTCGCAATCCGCAGAACAAGACAAACTTCACCGACCGCAGCGCCGGCCTTATCCTTGATTTGATACCACCGCACCACTGTGCCGCCCTGCAGCTGTCCTGTCACGTCAACATCACACGTGGCCAGCACCTCGTCTCCTGTGTCAGGTGAAGCAACTGCGATCTGTGTGTGTATTGGGGGGAGGGTGGGAGGGAGAGAAGGACGTGGGGGGAGGGGGGGGGAAGGAAGAGAGGGAATAGAAGCTTGGCTCTTGAAGCACCTCTAACCACAACTGGCTAGCACCTCGTCGCCTGTCAGGTGAATGAACCAACTGTGATCTGTGAGAGAGTGGGAGGGAGAGGATCGAGTCTGGCGAGCTAAACCCAGAATCGCGTTTCCCGGTACTCTACATTTGAGGCACAGGACACACGGTAAAGATATGTCTTTCCAGTGGATGCAGAAGCCACCTTTTAGCACAGGACACAAGGTTGAGATATGAGACTGGAGAATGGAACTGACCTGGAGAATGACGTCGCCTGGATGTGGCAGTGAAGCACCAGGCCAGTAGTCCAGCGGAATCTTGAAGTCCTGATCTTTCAGACGTCTCAATATTCAAGGTTGGGATACGAGAGGATACGAGACATGAGAACGGAACTGACCTGGAGAATGACGTCGCCTGGATGTGGCAGCGAAGCACCAGGCGAGTAGTCCAGCGGGATCTTGAAGTCCTGTAGCCACTTGGGGGCCGCTCCCGTCTTCGCTGCAGTCTTCACCTGCACCGAGTGTGCGGGTTAGATTAGGAAGGTCGAGATACGTTTTTATGTTCACTCGAAGCCATTTGGGGGCCGCTCCCGTCTTCGCTGCTGTCTTCACCTGCACCACGTGTGCGGATTAGGATAGGAAGATTACAAGGGAGAGCCATATCTCGAGCAAGTTGAGCCAAGCTTGTGAAGACTGGAGCGGACGCGTGAGGAATCTGGTTTCAAGGGGCCTCAATATTGTGCGAAGCGCCTCAAAAGAAGGAGACGCGAGTGATCTGAGGTTTGCCATGCCATTGCAGAGGCACAGCAGCGGTCGTTTATATGAAACAACCTATTAATATATTAATTTCGCGCGATGGTTGACTGATACGCGCAATTCTGGTTGGCGTGAATATCCATCATGTTGCTACATGGTGCAAGGCCACGTGATTGGCAACATAACGTTTTTTTAGCAATTTTCTTAGCAACATAAGTTTTGACTGACTCGGCCAATGTGGGTGGTGATAGCCTAGCATACTGCCTACATGATGCAGGAAACAACGCTCAATCACTTGCGGAATAAAGTACCTGGTTCTTTCCCTGAGAGAGCGACAACGTCGCTCCGCCTTTGTCCTGCACGCCACCTGGAAGCTGCAAGTTCCGGCCCTGAACCACTGACACTTGCAGCACGGTCGCGTCGGCCGAAGGCGACGGGGAACCGGCACCATTGACGGCAACCATTGTCTAATAAAGGTTTAAACCCTCCAGCGCTTCCCACGGGAATAACGGAAAGACAGCAACACGCACGGTTATCCCGACTGAAGAATAGTCCAGAAGAAGTTTCTAGTGCGTTGCTGCCCCAACGCTTAACGGATCATTAAGAGAAGTCTAAAAAGTAGCTCAGTCAAGAAGTCTGCCTCCACGCGGACCTCCTACTGCCTCGCGGCTGTACTGCAGAGCAAATAGTGTGTTACACGTCGCACACACGCGCCTGATTAATTATTTATTGACCAGATCGTTATACGGAGATAAATTACCGCCGCTAGGAGCGAACAAGGGAGCGGCCGCATTGAACACCTCGGAAACGCGAATATTATTTTAGCGGATGGCTACACTAAGCGAAGGGATGCGGAACGTGTGAGCGCAGAGATTGGCTTATGAGGCTGGCGGCTCAAAAACAACCCCCCCACTAGGAATGCGACGATTTTGCGTTAGAGGTTACTCTCAGATACTTTAGGTAGGTTTGACAATACGTAGCACATCTCACAGACATGACGCCAACTTCGTTAAAGTGCATGCTGGAAGCTGAAGAAGAGTGGGACTAACGAAAGGCGAATGCTTAGAACAAGCATCAATGCGTGACGTCTTATTGACAACCTTCAGGGGAAAGTCTATCCCAGCTCCTGACTTTCAGTTTTTTCTCATATTTAGCCCTATGTTTACTCAAAAAGCACCACTTTCCATTATTTCTCTCACGCGAGGCCCAAAGTATGTTCAAAACTGGTCCTGCGGGGCGAAGTTTTCGACACGTGTCGTTTTGTTACCAGCTGACGCACTTCCACTCTGAACTAACCGTTTGTCAGGGCAATTTTCGCGCCGGAAAAGTTTTTACGGGACAAAAAACATAAGACCCCTAAAGGACCATTACACATTTTCGGGAGGGAGCAACCCTAAACACGGGACCTGCTAGGTGTTTAGGGTTGATCCCTCCCGCGAATGTGTCCTGGTTCTCTAGGGGTTTTATTTTTTTTGCCCCCGTCCAAATTTTCCATGCGTGGAAGTTCGTCAGATGGTGTAACAAGAGGACACGTGTCGAAAAAATCGCCCCGCAGGACCACTTTTGAACATACTTTGGGCCTCGCGTGAGAGAAATTCTAGAAAGTGGTGCTTTTTGAGTAAACCTAGGGCTGAATATGAGAGAAATCTGAAAGTCAGGAGCGGGGATATACTTTCCCAACCTTCAGCGAAGATAGCGGCTGAGGTGCAGACACGCATCAATTTTTTTCTGGTGGTCTTGCCTACATGTAAAATAAGCATGAACCCTGACAATGATGGAATGCAAACAGCAGGACAGATTCTTTGCTTCCTGCCTGCCATTCCTGATAGGCCGGCGAAAAGGATGACATGAGGGGAGGGGGGAAGGAGATGAACAGCTGGTGGACAAAACTCGAGGGATGGATGTTTCCCTTGGTTTGGTGTGCTTGGCTGCGCTGACGTGTCCGCGCTCGAGTGAGCGAAATCCCTCTAAACTTGACGGGCCGAACCGCGAATGTCATCCAGGAAGCCCAATCCCCAAGGTCCCCGCCCCGCCAGCCCTGTCGCGGCGCAGGGACAAGGCGGCGGGTGAATCTGTCTCGACGAGAGACTGGTTCGTCCCAAACCAACCCCTCCCCAAACCATTTGCTCGCGGCTTGGAGTGTGGTTGGTTTGGTGTGGGACTGTGGGGGAGGAACCCTTCTAACAACATCCCCTCTGTACTGTAAGGCAATGATACAGTTCCCCCAAAGGAACAGCAGTGCAGCAGTTCCCTCTGTACAGCAGTTCCCCTCTGTGCAGTTCCCCTCTGTGCTGTGGGGGATGGTTGAGTACAGCAGTGTCTGCTTTTATGCGGCAAATTGATCCGTTATTATCAGCGTAAAAAAAGCCGCGAAAGATATTGTAAGTGCTGTATCGGCCAATCAGCGAAGATAGCGGCTGAGGTGCAGACACGCATCAAAACTTTCTGGTGGTCTTGCCTACATGTAAAATAAGCATGAATCCTGACAATGATGGAATGCAAACAGCAGGACAGATTCTTTGCTTCCTGCCTGCCATCCCTGATAGGCCGGCGAAAAGGATGACATGAGGGGAGGGGGGAAGGAGATGAACAGCTGGTGGACAAAACTCGAGGGATGGATGTTTCCCTTGGTTTGGTGTGCTTGGCTGCGCTGACGTGTCCGCGCTCGAGTGAGCGAAATCCCTCTAAACTTGACGGGCCGAACCGCGAATGTCATCCAGGAAGCCCAATTCCCAAGGTCCCCGCCCCGCCAGCCCTGTCGCGGCGCAGGGACAAGGCGGCGGGTGAATCTGTCTCGACGAGAGACTGGTTCGTCCCAAACCAACCCCTCCCCAAACCATTTGCTCGCGGCTTGGAGTGTGGTTGGTTTGGTGTGGGACTGTGGGGGAGGAACCCTTCTAACAACATCCCCTCTGTACTGTAAGGCAATGATACAGTTCCCCCAAAGGAACAGCAGTGCAGCAGTTCCCTCTGTACAGCAGTTCCCCTCTGTGCAGTTCCCCTCTGTGCTGTGGGGGATGGTTGAGTACAGCAGTGTCTGCTTTTATGCGGCAAATTGATCCGTTATTATCAGCGTAAAAAAAGCCGCGAAAGATATTGTAAGTGCTGTATCGGCCAATCAACGCCTCCCTGACACTCCGAGCTGTGAACAACAGGAGGTTCGAAACTGGTCAGTCGAGCGAAAAATTTTCGACGGTTAAGATTGCTCGTTGTCTCGGCAGCCGAAAATGTGCGGCTGGTGTTGCCTTAACGCATCCCCACAGTTCCTCGCAAACGGTTCAGCAGCATGTATGGCTGAAGAGGAAGGCTCCCTAGAAGGTCGGTGCGACGGATGGGAACGACGTGCAACCCACCTGTTTCTCAGTTTAACCACGGTTAAGATCGATGAGTTACGGTTTTTCATGGCAACGAAAGAGAACCCTTTGCTGCACCGTAGTTTGTAGGTCGATTGGAAGAGCATGGAAACGTTTCGTGATACTTTGGCACCGAATCGTGCTGTTTTGGAAACCTCTAAAAACTTTGAGAACCGTATTGCAGCCTGTTCTGACACTTGGAGATCTCATTTTCTCTACAATCTGATACCCTCTTCCATCCTAAAATTCCTCCTCCAGGCAGGCTCGGGCTGGCCTGAAGCCATGGCTTCTGAGCAATTTGCGAGCAGCAGAGAAGATCTCTGCTGGTAGTCGGGGCCTCGCTGGAGATCCGTTTTTTTCATGGGGAATGCCACACTAGCTCGCGGGATTTCCTTCTTCCAAGAGTTGTTAATCAAGCGTCGCCAGTTGTAACGCATTGGGCATAACACCAGTCCCCAAACAGGCGTTTTCATAAGGAGAGGAATCGACCGTTTCTAGTTACTATCTCTTAGGTTTGAAGCACAATAATAGGTCTTTCTTTCTATTGCCGGTAGATTCATAATGGCGTCCGCGGAGGAACTAAAGGCGGAGAACACCCGCCTTCAAGCGGAGATGCAGTCCATGAAAAAGAAGATCGTTCTAGCTCTCAAAAAGCAGCAGGCGGAGCTTCAATCCAAAGTCCAGGAGGCCGAGCGAGCGCGTGACGAGGCTCTAAAGCGAGCTGAAGCCGCGGAATCAGGAGCTTCTAACGGAGATGCGTCTAAAGGAGCGGATCCGGCCGTGTTGCAGCAGCTGCAGGACCAACTGAATGGGTCTCAGCAGGAACTGAAAATGCTCAGGGAAGAGTACGTGGTCGCGAGCGAGAAGGTCAAGGCTGCGGAAGATCAGGCCAGATCAGCGGAAGAGGAGAGAAAGAAAGCTATGGACGACGCAAATGCGGCTCAGAAGAGCCTTCGCGCGACGAAAGAGGAGGTCCAGATGGTACGGGAGCAGTGGACGGCCGCGCAAGGCGCGCTGATGACCACTCAGGAGGAGCTTACAAGTCTGCAGGAGCAGCTGCGGAAAGCGCAGGGAGAGGCGCGGGAAGCGCAGGAAGGGCGCACGGCGGCGCAGCAGGCGCTCCAGGCGCTGGGGGAGCGGGTGAAGGCGGCGGAAGCGGAGAAGCGGAGCGATCAAGCGGAGCAGCGGCGCGCGCAGGAGGTGGTGGCGCGCGCGGAGCAGCAGCTGAAAGCCGCGCAGGCGGAGCGCGAGAAGGCGATGGAGGCGCTAAGTGCTGCGCGGAGAGAGCTGGAGGGTTCTCGGGCAGACGGGGAAAAATTGACCGGGCAGCTGAAAGCAATTCAGGTGGAACTGGAAGCTTCGAAGGAAGATGGGAGCAAGCTGCAGGCGCTGGTGGCGGATTTTCAGAAGAAGCTTCCTGCGGTGGAGCAGGAGAAGGAAGGGTTGAGAGCGGATAAGGATAAGATGGAAGCGGAGATTAAAGCGCTAAGGGATGAGCTTGAGGGTCTGAGACACGGCAAGGAAGCTTCGCTGGAAGAGCTGCGTGCTCAAGTCGAAAGTTCCCGGAAGGAGCTGGGGGAAGTCAAAGCGGAGTTGGAGAAGGCGAAGGAGGAGGTCGGAAAGGCTCAATGCGAGGCGACGAACAAGGGTGCGCAGGTAGAGGAGTTGCTTCAGGCGCAGGCGGCGCTTCAGGTGGAGATTGAGAAGGCCAAGGCAGCGGCATCAGAGGCGCAGGAAGAACTGGGGAAGGTGCGATGTGAGGCGACGAACAAGGGGGCACAGGTAGAGGAGCTGCTTCAGGCGCAGGCGGCGCTACAGGGGGAGGTTGAGAAGGCCAAGGCAGCGGCCGCAGAGGCGCAGGAGGAACTGGGGAAGGTGCGATGTGAGGCGACGAACAAGGGCGCGCAAGTAGAGGAGCTGCTTCAGGCGCAGGCGGCGCTTCAGGGGGAGATTGAGAAGGCCAAGGCAGCGGCAGCAGAGGCGCAGGAAGAACTGGGGAAGGTGCGATGTGAGGCGACGAACAAGGGCGCGCAGGCAGAGGAGCTGCTTCAGGCGCAGTCAGCGTTGACAGGCGAGGTTGAAGAGGTGAAGGCCGCAGCAGCTAAGTCAGCGGCGGCGGCAGCAGACGCAGAGGCGGCGCTTCAGGCGCAGCTGGCAGACGCGAAGAAGGAAGTCGCCAGGTAGGTTGCTTGCTAGTAACGAAGTTGAAATAATGCAAAAACTAAGTCGTCTAGGGCTCCAGAGGACCAGAGGTCTCACAGTTCAGTGCTAGTTTTTCAAACGTCTCAATGCCAGGTAAAGCTATTATTAGCCAACCATCCCTGATGATGATTGAGTTTTGACGTCTCATAATTTGCCACGTGGGCTTCTGAGTGTCTGATTTGACGGTGAGCGAGATTGTGCCGATGCGTAATGGATGATGATCGATGTTTTGTTGTAACACGCCTTTTTTGCTCCCTCTCTTCCGCTGTCATGCGTGTCTTTGCTGCGGCAGCCTTACCTCACAGCTGAAGGGCATGCGAGGGGCCATGGATCACGTGCAGAAGGCTGCTTCGGAAACAGAGGAGGTACGTGAGATGTGGGCATGTAGACATGCAATGCAAGACCAGGTTGTAATTTTCATGCTGCATAAAGGTTCATCATTGCACCTACCCCAGCAGCTCAGATTTCATCACATGCCTATCCTATTTTATTCTACTTAAATTCAAAGACTTCCTTCTGTATGCCCCTTCCAAGATATCACATTTGAATGCTCCTTATTGGATCGACCCCTTTCACCCAAACCAGAGGATCCAGAAAGAGCTGGCAGATCTCGCCGCCAAGTCAGATTCCCTCAAAGCCCAGCTGGCAGCTGCACAATCCGAGCTGGCAGCTGCGCAGGCTGAGCTGGCATCGACAAAATCCACGCTGGAAAAGGAGATTCATTCAAGAGAGGCAGCGCAGAGAGAAGCAGAGGAGGCACGAGCGGCATTGGACTCTTTCCAGGAAAGTGCAGGAAAGGAGCAGCAGCAGGCTGGGGAGCTGTGGCAGCAACTTCTAGACACGCGAAAGCAGGTTGCAGCAGAGACAGATAGGGCGGATGGGAGTGAGAAAGAGGCGGAGGGATTGAGGAAGAGAGTGGAGAGTTTGGAGAAGGTGGTTGAGGAGAAGGAGAAGGAAGGGAGGCGGTGAGGGGGGAATTGGAGGGAGTGAGGGGGAGGCTAGCAGAGGTGGAAGGGAGGGTGAAGGAGTTGGGGGAGGAAGTTGCTGGGAAGGAGGGCGAGGTGGCTGGGCTGAGGGGGGAGTTGGAAGCTGCGCTGAAGGCAGCTGAGCAGGCGAAGGCGGAGGGTGAGAAGCGAAGGGAGGAGGGTGAGAAGGTCAGGAAGGAGATGGATGAGGTTGTGGGGAGCAAGGACGCGGAGATTAAAGCTAAAGAGGAGGAGATTCGCGGGTTGAAGGAGCAGCTGGAGCAAGCAGTAGCGGAGAAGGGATCAGGGGAGGCGCAGGCTGCAAAGATGGGCGAAGACAGGAAGGCTCTAGAGGGGAGGGTGGCGGAGCTTGAAGGGGAGTTGGAGAGGGCGAAAGCGGAGGTGGAGAGCCGTAAAGAGGAGTTGGAGAGGGCGAAAGGGGAAGCAGAGAAAGCGAAAGAGGAGGCCGAGAGCATCAAAGGGGAACTCGAGAAGGTGAAAGAGGAGGCAGAGAGGGCGAAAGGGGAGGTGGAAAAGGGTGTGGGTGAATTGGAGAAGGCGAGAGGGGAGCTGAAGGCAGCAGAGGAGAGGGTGAGAGAGTTGGAGGAGAAAGAGGGAGAGTGGGAAGGGAGAGAGGCTGAGGTGAGAAAGAAATTGGAAGAAGCAGAAGCAGCTTTGGGTGTGGCTAAGGCTGAAGCAGCAGCAGCAGGGGCGGAGGCGGCAGGTGCAGCGGCGGCAGGGGCTGTGGCAGGAGAGGCGCGAGTGGCAGAGCTTGAAGAGGCGTTGAAAGCGGTGAAGAGGGAGAAGGAGCGGTTGGAGGAGGAGTTGGAGGAGGCGTTGGGGAAGGCGAGGGAGGTGGAGAGGAGGAGGGAGCAGGCACAGGCGGAGATTGAGGCAGAGCGGCAGGGGATGAGGGAGAAGAGTGAGAAGGAGAGTGCAGAGAGGGCGGATGGAGAGAAGAGAGTGAGTGAGCTCACAGCTGAACTGGAAGGAGTGAAGGCGAGGGTAGAAGCAGCAGAGCTAGAGGCAGGGAGGATGAGAGAGGAGGCGGAGAGGGGGAGAGAGCAGCTGGCTATGTCTGGCGGGGCGCAGGCTGAGGAGCTGGCGAAGGTGAATGCTGAGCTGGCGAAGGCGAACGCTGAGCTGGCGAGGGTGTCCGGTGAGCTGGCGCAGGCTGGGGCTGCCCGCGTGGCGGCGGAGGAGGCGGCTGCTAGGGTGGCGGGTGCTGCGGGGGAGGCGATGGGGAAGGCTGAGTCAGCAGAGAGTGAGCTGGCGGCAGGTAAGGGCACATCTGCTGCTTTGTCACTATCATGCCTGCTTCTTTGTCATTATCTATTATGCCTGCTGCTTCATGTGACTGTTGCTTTATTACGGCCCCTTTCAACGCCGGCGCGGTGTGTGTGGTGCGGTGCGGTGTATTGTGATATGGTATGGTGTGGTGTGGTGCAGTGCGCAGCAAGCTGGAGGCAGAGCTGAAGGCAGCGGAGGACAAGTACGCAGAGCTGGACAGCAAGTTCAACCGTCTTCAGAAGCGCGCCAAGCAGCGGATTCAAGAAGTCACCAAGGTATGCACCAGCAGGGTAGGGAGCAAGTTCAACCGCCTGCAGAAGAGGGCAAAGCAGCGGATCCAGGAAGTCACCAAGGTATGTAACCAGCAGGTATGGAATATCACAGTAAATGAGGCCGAAAAGGGACTAGTATGCAGAGCTGGACAGCAAGTTCAACCGCCTGCAGAAGCGCGCCAAGCAGCGGATCCAGGAAGTCACCAAGGTATGGAACACACAGATGTGGTGTGACGTGACACACCAGGTTCGAGGCAGTAATGAGTCGATTTTTAAGTCGACTTAAAAATCGACTCATTACACGCTTTTTAAGTCGACTTAAAAATCGACTCATTACATCCAGGAAGTCACCAAGGTATGGAACACACAGATGTGGTGTGTTGTGACGCACCAGGTTCGAGGCAGTAGGATGTGAAATGAGTAAGTCTGGTACTTAGGCAAGGCGGCAGGTTAACGGGCAGGGGCAGAGGTGGGGGCAGGTGCAGGCGTAGCTGCAGGGGCAGTGGCAGGGGCAGGGGCAGAGTTGCCTCTGGAACCTCCCCATCCCGTTCCCTGTTCTCCATGCACCCTGGTCTCCCCTCCCCTCCTCCTGGCAGGAGAAAGAGGAAGCGGAGAGGAAGCTTGCAGAGGAGAGGAAGCAGCAGGCGGCTCTGCAGGAGGATTTGGAGAGAGCCAAGGGGGTGGCAGCAGAGGCACAGAGGACGGCTGAGAAAGACAAGGATCAGCTGAGGAAGACCAACGCGTCGTGAGTGCCTCTACCCTGTTGTAATCCAAGAGGCTGGAAGGGTTTTGCTGGTCCTGTATAGTATGTAGTAGACTGATGGCTCTGTGCCCTTGTGCTCCTACCGTGTGGCTGCAGAGGCGCATCGGATAGTTGAAAAGGACAAGGCGCAGCTGAGGTTGGGTTTTGCTGGCCCTTTCTAGTGTGTAGTAGACGGATGGCTCTGTTTTCTTGTGCTCCTACTGGGCGAGGAGAAGGCAAGGAGCAGGCGTGGCTGGAGCTGTCGAGCTGTCCCCTCCCACCCATTCTCTAAACCTTAAACCCGATACCCTGACCCCTTGTTCCAGGCTCAAAGAAGAGGTGGACGAGCTCAGACGAGCCTTAGAGCTGAAGGAGCATAATCTCAAGGAGTCACGGAGGCTGGCAGCGGGCAAGGAGCAGGCGTGGCTGGAGCTGTCGAGCTGTCCCCTCCCACCCATTCTCTAAACCTTAAACCCGAAACCCTGACCCCTTGTTCCAGGCTCAAAGAAGAGGTGGACGAGCTCAGACGAGCCTTAGAGCTGAAGGAGCATAATCTCAAGGAGTCACGGAGGCTGGCAGCGGGCAAGGAGCAGGCGTGGCTGGAGCTGTCAAGCTCAGCGCAGGAGGAGCGGGAGCGCATGGCGGGGGCAGTGAAGGAGTTGGAGGAACGGATGGAGCGGATGGGGAAGGAGCAGGAGGCGCGTGCGGCTGAGCTGCAGCGGGAGCTGAATAAGGCGCTGGAGAGCAGCAGTGCACTGCAGGTGAGAAATGCAAGGGGTACAGAGTGATGAGGGCAGTGGTGTTACGGGTTAGGGTAACCGCATGGTACGGGTTAGAGAGTTACGAAGCATTGTGAAAAGGTGATTGAGGTGCAGGAGGAGCGGGAGCGCGTGGCGGGGGCAGTGAGGGAGGTGGAGGAGCCGCTGAGCTGCAGCGGGAGCTGAATAAAGCACTGGAGAGCAGCAGTGCGCTGCAGGTGAGAGAGAGGAATGCGAGCAGCAGCGAGTGAGAGCAATGGAGCTGCAGCGGGAGCTGAACAAGGCCCTGGAGAGCAGCAGCGCGTTGCAGGTGAGGGGGCAGTGGCGTTGCTGGTTAGGGTAACCATGTATTTAGGGTAACTACAGGGTAGGTCATAACCACCTCGTATGAGTTAGGGGGCATTTAATCCACTTTTTACTGGCATCTCAAAAGGTGAGAGCAGTAGAGGTGCAGAGAGAGGGAGCTGAATAAGGTTATGTGAATAAGGTTGTGAAGAGAAGCAACGTGCACCAGATGAGAAAGGGGCAGCTGGGGGACTGCGATAAAGGCAACAGCGAGGAGTGGGATACAGGTGATGATAGCCACTGATGCAGGTGGGATACAGGTGAAAGCAGTGGTGTTATGTGGTTATGATGGTAATTACTGTAACCAACCACATGTCCCCCTTTTCTCCACCACTACCCGCTTTTCCCACCCCTGGCAGGTCCAGCTGTCGCAGAAAGAGCGCCAGCTGGCAGAGGTGGAGGCCGCCACGTCAGGCGAGCTGGCGCGGCTGTCGGCCACTCTGGAGGCGACACGTGGCGAGCTGCACCGGCTGGAACAGAAGCTTCAAGAGGAGAGGAGCGGGTGGGAGGAGACGGTTGCTCAGCTGAAGAGGCGGGTGGAGGGGATGGAGAGGGGCAAGCGCATGCAGGAGGTGGCGATGCAGGAGGCGAAGGGGGCGTGGCAGCAGGAGGTAGAGGGCCAGAAGAAGGCTGTTGCTGCTGCTTTGGCGGATTTGGCTGCTGCACAGGCAGAGGTGAGTCGAGCAGTGGGGGATGGGGGGGTTGGGCGCAGGCCCGCAGGGTTGGCTGTAAAGTGGTGAGACTGTGAGGGGCAGGTGGGTGGGAGGAGACAGTTGGTCAGCTGAAGTGGCGGGTGGAGGGGATGGAGAGGGGCAAGCGCATGCAGGAGGTGGCGATGCAGGAGGCGAAGGGGGCGTGGCAGGCGGAGGTGGAGGGGCAGAAGAAGGCCGTTGCTGCTGCCCTGGCGGACCTGGCTGCTGCACAGGCAGAGGTGAGAATGGGAGAGGGGGTAGGGTGGGTCGGGAGAGGGGAGAGGGGGGTTTGGGAGTGCGGTCAGCCAGTGGGAAACGGTGCTGTTGTCTTTCCCGTTTGGCTGAAAATAAGGTGAGTCCGTGAGGGGTGGGTGGGAGGAGACGGTTGGTCAGCTGAAGAGGCGGGTGGAGGGGATGGAGAGGGGAAGAGGATGCAGGAGGTGGCGATGCAGGAGGCGAAGGGGGCGTGGCAGACAGAAGTTGAGGGGCAGAAGAAGGCTGTTGCTGCTGCATTGGCTGACCTGGCTTCTGCACAGGCGGAGGTGAGTAGAGCAGGGGTTTGGGGAGGGCTAGGCTTGGGGAGGGTATGGGATGCAGGAGGTGGCAATGCAGGAGGCGAAGGGGGCGTGGCAGACAGAAGTTGAGGTGCAGAAGAAGGCTGTTGCTGCTGCATTGGCTGACCTGGCTGCTGCACAAGCGGAGGTGAGTAGAGCAGGGGTTTGGGGAGGGCTAGGCTTTGGGAGGGTATGGGATGCAGGAGGTGGCAATGCAGGAGGCGAAGGGGGCGTGGCAGACAGAAGTTGAGGTGCAGAAGAAGGCTGTTGCTGCTGCATTGGCTGACCTGGCTGCTGCACAGGCGGAGGTGAGTAGAGCAGGGGTTTGGGGAGGGCTAGGCTTTGGGAGGGTATGGGATGCAGGAGGTGGCAATGCAGGAGGCGAAGGGGGCGTGGCAGACAGAAGTTGAGGTGCAGAAGAAGGCTCTTGCTGCTGCATTGGCTGACCTGGCTGCTGCACAGGCGGAGGTGAGTAGAGCAGGGGTTTGGGGAGGGCTAGGCTTGGGGAGGGTATGGGATGCAGGAGGTGGCAATGCAGGAGGCGAAGGGGGCGTGGCAGACAGAAGTTGAGGTGCAGAAGAAGGCTGTTGCTGCTGCATTGGCTGACCTGGCTGCTGCACAGGCGGAGGTGAGTAGAGCAGGGGTTTGGGGAGGGCTAGGCTTTGGGAGGGTATGGGATGCAGGAGGTGGCAATGCAGGAGGCGAAGGGGGCGTGGCAGACAGAAGTTGAGGTGCAGAAGAAGGCTCTTGCTGCTGCATTGGCTGACCTGGCTGCTGCACAGGCGGAGGTGAGTAGAGCAGGGGTTTGGGGAGGGCTAGGCTTGGGGAGGGTATGGGATGCAGGAGGTGGCAATGCAGGAGGCGAAGGGGGCGTGGCAGCAGGAGGTGGAGGGGCAGAAGACGGCCGTTGCTGCTGCCCTCGCGGACCTGGCTGCTGCACAGGCAGAGGTAAGGAAGGGTGGAGGCAGGGAAACGATGAGGGGGGAGGAGTGTTGGTGATGCAGGAGGTGAAGGGGGCGTGGCAGGCGGAGGTGGAGGGGCAGAAGAAGGCCGTTGCTGCTGCTTTGGCGGATTTAGCTGCTGCACAGGCGGAGGTGAGGAAGGATTATGGTAGTGGGGGCTTGGTAATGAAGTTGTGCGTACCCCAACATGAGGTGGAGGGGCGGAAGGAGGCCGTTGCTGCTGCTTTGGCTGACCTGGCTGCTGCACAGGCGGAGGTGAGGAAGGGTTATGGTAGGCTGGGCTTGGGAATGAAGTTAGTGGGTACCCCAACAGGAGGTAGAGGGCCAGAAGAAGGCTGTTGCTGCTGCTTTGGCGGATTTGGCTGCGGCACAAGCATGCCATGCCATGCCATGCCATGCCACGCCATGCCATGCAACAGCATGGCGTTCCCTCCCGTGTGTATCTTTTGCAGTATCTCAGTTCTTAAGTCTGTCCCGTACCACCTCCTGCCACCTCTCACCACATCATGTGGTGTGATGCCATGTCATGGCAGGTGGCGAAGGGGCGTGATGAGCTGGCGGCGTACAAGGTGCGGGCGGCGGCGATGCTGAAGAAGAAGCAGGAGGAGCTGGAGGCGGTGGGAAACGCGGATGCCATGGCGAGCAAAGAAGAGGAGATCAAGGTGAGTGTGGGGTGTGAGGAGAAAGGGAGAAATGACATGAGAAAGAGTGATTAAAGTGGGACGAGGAGGTGGAGGCAGTGGGGAACGCGGATGAAATGGCGAGCAAGGAGGAGGAGATCAAGGTGAGTGTGGGAGTGGGGTGAGTGTGAGAGCAAGTGTGGAGTGTGAGTGCTGCTGTGTGGTGGCAATATGCACAGCACATAAGCATGTTGTAGGAGGAGCTGGAGGCGGTGGGGAACGCGGATGCCATGACGAGCAAAGAGGACGAGAACAAGGTGAGTGGGGAGGTGAGGGGGGAGGGAGGGTAGTGAAAGTGGGAGCGGGTGGGGTATGAAGGTGAGAGGAACTGATTGTATGAGGGCGAAGAAGCAGGAGGAGGTGGAGGCGGTGGGGAATGCGGATGCCGGTGAGCAAGGAAGAGGAGATCAAGGTGAGTGTGGGAGTGAGTGTGGATTGAGTGCAGTGCAGGAGTATGGTAGCTGAGAGGAGCTTATGGTTGAGGTTGAGAAGCATGAGTCGGCAATGATGAGAAGCAGGAGGAGGTGGAGGCAGTGGGGAACGCGGATGCCATGGCGAGCAAAGAAGAGGAGATCAAGGTGAGTGTGGGAGTAGGTGTGGGAGTGTGTGAGTGTAGGAATGATTGCAGGAGTGAGTGTGGGATCGTGGGAGTGAGTGTGGGATCGTGGGAATGAGTGTGGGAGTGAGTGTGGGATCGTGGGAGTGAGTGTGGGAGTGTGTGTGGGAGTGAGTGTGGGAGTGAGTGTGGGAGTGAGTGTGGTAGTGAGTGTGCCTCTGTCCCCACCTGCCTCCCTCCCTACCTCCTTCCCTATCTCCCTCCCCCTCACCGTCCTTTCCCCCTCCGCTCTCTTTCCCGCTTCGTGCCACAACAGGAGGCGAAAAGGGCGGAGGCAGCGGCAGTGGCAGAGAGGGACAGAGCTCTCAACTCATGTTTCCTCCCTCCCCACCTTCCTTTCCCTCTCCCCCTCTCTCCTTCCCCACCCGCCTCTCTCCCCGCACGACAGGAGGCAAAAAGGGCAGAGGCAGCGGCAGTGGCAGAGAGGGACAGAGCGCTCAAGGCTCTGGAGGATGCTGCTGTGGACCACGAGACACAGATGGCAGCGCGGTGAGATGCGGTGGAGGAGGGGGTGGTGCGGTGTGGGTGCATGTAAAGGGTAGTGGGATGGAAAGATTGGGACAGAGCGCTCAAGGCTTTGGAGGATGCTGCTGTGGACCATGAGACACAGATGGCAGCGCAGTGTGTGATACATGCACGAAGGGTGTAATGGGTGTGGTGCGATGTGTGCCTGTCTGAAACAGGAATGCTACATTGGTGGAAGCAGAGTCAAAGGTGCTCAAGCTGACAGGCAGGGTGGAAGCAGAGAGACAGCAGAGGTCTTATCAACCTGATCCATGCCCCCTTGCCCCTATCCCACTCCAATCTCCTAACCACACAGGAACGTGGCTCTGATGGCGGCGGAAAGTAAAATCCGAGAGCTGACAGGCCGGCTGGAGGCGGTGCGGCAGCAGAGCCGAGCGGCCCAGGAGGAGATGCATGGACGGATGATGGACCTGGAGGATGGGTGGCGCGGTAAGTTGGTAGAAGGGGGTTGGCGTGATGTTGAGGGATTGTTGGGAGAGTATAGCTCAGCACAGGAGAGAGTGGGTAGACAGCAGCACAGGCGGATGATGGATCTGGAAGAGCGGGGTGAGTTGAGGGGTTGAGTGTTGGGGTATGAAGTGGACAGCTGGTTGAGAGCAGCGCAGGAGGAGATGCATGGGCGGATGATGGACATGGAGGAGGATGATGGACATGGAGGAGGATGATGGACATGGAGGAGGATGATGGACATGGAGGAGGATGATGGACATGGAGGAGGATGATGGACATGGAGGAGGATGATGGACATGGAGGAGGATGATGGACATGGAGGAGGATGATGGACATGAGAGGAGCGGGGGAGGAACGAGTTGAGAGGAGCGGGGGAGGAACGAGTTGAGAGGAGCGGGGGAGGAACGAGTTGAGAGGAGCGGGGGAGGAACGAGTTGAGAGGAGCGGGGGAGGAACGAGTTGAGAGGAGCGGGGGAGGAACGAGTTGAGAGGAGCGGGGGAGGAACGAGTTGAGAGGAGCGGGGGAGGAACGAGTTGAGAGGAGCGGGGGAGGAACGAGTTGAGAGGAGCGGGGGAGGAACGAGTTGAGAGGAGCGGGGGAGGAACGAGTTGAGAGGAGCGGGGAGGAACGAGTTGAGAGGAGCGGGGGAGGAACGAGTTGAGAGGAGCGGGGGAGGAACGAGTTGAGAGGAGCGGGGGAGGAACGAGTTGAGAGGAGCGGGGGAGGAACGAGTTGAGAGGAGCGGGGGAGGAACGAGTTGAGAGGAGCGGGGGAGGAACGAGTTGAGAGGAGCGGGGGAGGAACGAGTTGAGAGGAGCGGGGGAGGAACGAGTTGAGAGGAGCGGGGGAGGAACGAGTTGAGAGGAGCGGGGGAGGAACGAGTTGAGAGGAGCGGGGGAGGAACGAGTTGAGAGGAGCGGGGGAGGAACGAGTTGAGAGGAGCGGGGGAGGAACGAGTTGAGAGGAGCGGGGGAGGAACGAGTTGAGAGGAGCGGGGGAGGAACGAGTTGAGAGGAGCGGGGGAGGAACGAGTTGAGAGGAGCGGGGGAGGAACGAGTTGAGAGGAGCGGGGGAGGAACGAGTTGAGAGGAGCGGGGAGGAACGAGTTGAGAGGAGCGGGGGAGGAACGAGTTGAGAGGAGCGGGGGAGGAACGAGTTGAGAGGAGCGGGGGAGGAACGAGTTGAGAGGAGCGGGGGAGGAACGAGTTGAGAGGAGCGGGGGAGGAACGAGTTGAGAGGAGCGGGGGAGGAACGAGTTGAGAGGAGCGGGGGAGGAACGAGTTGAGAGGAGCGGGGGAGGAACGAGTTGAGAGGAGCGGGGGAGGAACGAGTTGAGAGGAGCGGGGGAGGAACGAGTTGAGAGGAGCGGGGGAGGAACGAGTTGAGAGGAGCGGGGGAGGAACGAGTTGAGAGGAGCGGGGGAGGAACGAGTTGAGAGGAGCGGGGGAGGAACGAGTTGAGAGGAGCGGGGGAGGAACGAGTTGAGAGGAGCGGGGAGGAACGAGTTGAGAGGAGCGGGGGAGGAACGAGTTGAGAGGAGCGGGGGAGGAACGAGTTGAGAGGAGCGGGGGAGGAACGAGTTGAGAGGAGCGGGGGAGGAACGAGTTGAGAGGAGCGGGGGAGGAACGAGTTGAGAGGAGCGGGGGAGGAACGAGTTGAGAGGAGCGGGGGAGGAACGAGTTGAGAGGAGCGGGGGAGGAACGAGTTGAGAGGAGCGGGGGAGGAACGAGTTGAGAGGAGCGGGGGAGGAACGAGTTGAGAGGAGCGGGGGAGGAACGAGTTGAGAGGAGCGGGGAGGAACGAGTTGAGAGGAGCGGGGGAGGAACGAGTTGAGAGGAGCGGGGGAGGAACGAGTTGAGAGGAGCGGGGGAGGAACGAGTTGAGAGGAGCGGGGGAGGAACGAGTTGAGAGGAGCGGGGGAGGAACGAGTTGAGAGGAGCGGGGGAGGAACGAGTTGAGAGGAGCGGGGGAGGAACGAGTTGAGAGGAGCGGGGGAGGAACGAGTTGAGAGGAGCGGGGGAGGAACGAGTTGAGAGGAGCGGGGGAGGAACGAGTTGAGAGGAGCGGGGGAGGAACGAGTTGAGAGGAGCGGGGGAGGAACGAGTTGAGAGGAGCGGGGGAGGAACGAGTTGAGAGGAGCGGGGGAGGAACGAGTTGAGAGGAGCGGGGGAGGAACGAGTTGAGAGGAGCGGGGGAGGAACGAGTTGAGAGGAGCGGGGGAGGAACGAGTTGAGAGGAGCGGGGGAGGAACGAGTTGAGAGGAGCGGGGGAGGAACGAGTTGAGAGGAGCGGGGGAGGAACGAGTTGAGAGGAGCGGGGGAGGAACGAGTTGAGAGGAGCGGGGGAGGAACGAGTTGAGAGGAGCGGGGGAGGAACGAGTTGAGAGGAGCGGGGGAGGAACGAGTTGAGAGGAGCGGGGGAGGAACGAGTTGAGAGGAGCGGGGGAGGAACGAGTTGAGAGGAGCGGGGAGGAACGAGTTGAGAGGAGCGGGGGAGGAACGAGTTGAGAGGAGCGGGGGAGGAACGAGTTGAGAGGAGCGGGGGAGGAACGAGTTGAGAGGAGCGGGGGAGGAACGAGTTGAGAGGAGCGGGGGAGGAACGAGTTGAGAGGAGCGGGGGAGGAACGAGTTGAGAGGAGCGGGGGAGGAACGAGTTGAGAGGAGCGGGGGAGGAACGAGTTGAGAGGAGCGGGGGAGGAACGAGTTGAGAGGAGCGGGGGAGGAACGAGTTGAGAGGAGCGGGGGAGGAACGAGTTGAGAGGAGCGGGGGAGGAACGAGTTGAGAGGAGCGGGGGAGGAACGAGTTGAGAGGAGCGGGGGAGGAACGAGTTGAGAGGAGCGGGGGAGGAACGAGTTGAGAGGAGCGGGGGAGGAACGAGTTGAGAGGAGCGGGGGAGGAACGAGTTGAGAGGAGCGGGGGAGGAACGAGTTGAGAGGAGCGGGGGAGGAACGAGTTGAGAGGAGCGGGGGAGGAACGAGTTGAGAGGAGCGGGGGAGGAACGAGTTGAGAGGAGCGGGGGAGGAACGAGTTGAGAGGAGCGGGGGAGGAACGAGTTGAGAGGAGCGGGGGAGGAACGAGTTGAGAGGAGCGGGGGAGGAACGAGTTGAGAGGAGCGGGGGAGGAACGAGTTGAGAGGAGCGGGGGAGGAACGAGTTGAGAGGAGCGGGGGAGGAACGAGTTGAGAGGAGCGGGGGAGGAACGAGTTGAGAGGAGCGGGGGAGGAACGAGTTGAGAGGAGCGGGGGAGGAACGAGTTGAGAGGAGCGGGGGAGGAACGAGTTGAGAGGAGCGGGGGAGGAACGAGTTGAGAGGAGCGGGGGAGGAACGAGTTGAGAGGAGCGGGGGAGGAACGAGTTGAGAGGAGCGGGGGAGGAACGAGTTGAGAGGAGCGGGGGAGGAACGAGTTGAGAGGAGCGGGGGAGGAACGAGTTGAGAGGAGCGGGGGAGGAACGAGTTGAGAGGAGCGGGGGAGGAACGAGTTGAGAGGAGCGGGGGAGGAACGAGTTGAGAGGAGCGGGGGAGGAACGAGTTGAGAGGAGCGGGGGAGGAACGAGTTGAGAGGAGCGGGGGAGGAACGAGTTGAGAGGAGCGGGGGAGGAACGAGTTGAGAGGAGCGGGGGAGGAACGAGTTGAGAGGAGCGGGGGAGGAACGAGTTGAGAGGAGCGGGGGAGGAACGAGTTGAGAGGAGCGGGGGAGGAACGAGTTGAGAGGAGCGGGGGAGGAACGAGTTGAGAGGAGCGGGGGAGGAACGAGTTGAGAGGAGCGGGGGAGGAACGAGTTGAGAGGAGCGGGGGAGGAACGAGTTGAGAGGAGCGGGGGAGGAACGAGTTGAGAGGAGCGGGGGAGGAACGAGTTGAGAGGAGCGGGGGAGGAACGAGTTGAGAGGAGCGGGGGAGGAACGAGTTGAGAGGAGCGGGGGAGGAACGAGTTGAGAGGAGCGGGGGAGGAACGAGTTGAGAGGAGCGGGGGAGGAACGAGTTGAGAGGAGCGGGGGAGGAACGAGTTGAGAGGAGCGGGGGAGGAACGAGTTGAGAGGAGCGGGGGAGGAACGAGTTGAGAGGAGCGGGGGAGGAACGAGTTGAGAGGAGCGGGGGAGGAACGAGTTGAGAGGAGCGGGGGAGGAACGAGTTGAGAGGAGCGGGGGAGGAACGAGTTGAGAGGAGCGGGGGAGGAACGAGTTGAGAGGAGCGGGGGAGGAACGAGTTGAGAGGAGCGGGGGAGGAACGAGTTGAGAGGAGCGGGGGAGGAACGAGTTGAGAGGAGCGGGGGAGGAACGAGTTGAGAGGAGCGGGGGAGGAACGAGTTGAGAGGAGCGGGGGAGGAACGAGTTGAGAGGAGCGGGGGAGGAACGAGTTGAGAGGAGCGGGGGAGGAACGAGTTGAGAGGAGCGGGGGAGGAACGAGTTGAGAGGAGCGGGGGAGGAACGAGTTGAGAGGAGCGGGGGAGGAACGAGTTGAGAGGAGCGGGGGAGGAACGAGTTGAGAGGAGCGGGGGAGGAACGAGTTGAGAGGAGCGGGGGAGGAACGAGTTGAGAGGAGCGGGGGAGGAACGAGTTGAGAGGAGCGGGGGAGGAACGAGTTGAGAGGAGCGGGGGAGGAACGAGTTGAGAGGAGCGGGGGAGGAACGAGTTGAGAGGAGCGGGGGAGGAACGAGTTGAGAGGAGCGGGGGAGGAACGAGTTGAGAGGAGCGGGGGAGGAACGAGTTGAGAGGAGCGGGGGAGGAACGAGTTGAGAGGAGCGGGGGAGGAACGAGTTGAGAGGAGCGGGGGAGGAACGAGTTGAGAGGAGCGGGGGAGGAACGAGTTGAGAGGAGCGGGGGAGGAACGAGTTGAGAGGAGCGGGGGAGGAACGAGTTGAGAGGAGCGGGGGAGGAACGAGTTGAGAGGAGCGGGGGAGGAACGAGTTGAGAGGAGCGGGGGAGGAACGAGTTGAGAGGAGCGGGGGAGGAACGAGTTGAGAGGAGCGGGGGAGGAACGAG